TTACAGTAAGGTTTTAAAAGTCTGTTACTGGTATCTATGGTGAGTTTAGTTACATATAGATTTATGTCTGTTAAATAAAGATTTAAGTCTGTCACAATTATAAGCATGGTATCTTTGATGGGTTTTATTTACAACTTCTGAATCGATACCACTGGTGGTGGAGGATATCACCAGCCCAGTAGTCAGCACTTCCGTGTTGACATGCATTATCATTGATATTGTCATATTTATAAATTTACTGTTTCCAAAACTTGTTCGATATACTAAGGATATACTTAGGAACAGATTACCTTAGACGTATTTGGCAAAACCCTTCTGAATTGTTTACCCTTAATTCCCTTCAACTTCGTACTTTATCTGGTCAAAACTTTTTTGATTCGAGCGTCACCGATGAATCTTTTGTAGACGAAACGAGCGTCTGGCGTACAAAATTATAGCCTGGGATCTTCGATAGTCGAGTTAATTTCCATTTTCCATGGATAAAGTACTAGTATTGTTTTACTCCAAATAATTATGACGTCGTCTCAGCATCAATTTAAAATAGCCTTTCAAGACTGTCATAATCATGATAATTATTTGGACTAGTATTGTGAAAATAATTGTGAATTTTTGGATCTTGTTCCATATAATTGTACGCATGTTGTAATGTACTATTATATTATTTATTTATGCATTTCTCTGTGCTGAGTGTTTTTGCGTTTTTTTTTTGTACTGTATTTCTGTCACGTAGTGTTGTTATTTTAGCGATATTTTTAAACATTGCGATATAAGCGGGAGGTTTGGCTAGCCATAAAACCAGGTTCAACCCACCATTTTTTCTTAAAATGTCCTGTACCAAGTCAGGAATATGGCAGTTGTTATCAAATAGTCAGTTTCTATGTATGTTGGCTTTTGTTTTTGTTGCAGTTCAGTGTTTCTGTTGTTCCGTTGTTTTCCTCTAATAGTTGATGTGTTTCCCTCGGTTTTAGTTTGTAACCCGGATTTCTGATTTCTGAACAGCAGTATACTACTGTTCCCTTTTTTTCTTTTTTTTTTATCTTCGGTGATTTATTTAATTGAAAATTTTTGACCGTTCCGGTTAAGAATTTAAATGAAAATATGTGTACAAAAATGGGTTTTCCTTTAAAAAGATTTTACCATTTGTTTGTATCAATGAAAAAAGAGGGCTTAGCGATTTTTGTACATTTATGTGTGGTCTTCTCGATGTATTCCCATTAAACGTATATAATAGGATTTAACTAATTATTTTCAGAGGTTATTGGTGTGTAAACTGGTCTAACTAACTCACGCAAGTCGGAAGATCTTTAATGTAAAGTTTGTGAGTCAGCAAATGATATAAGAATTATATCGGAATAAGGTCTTTTGTAATATACTTAATGAATAAGATTTATAAGTGTTAATCTTTGCAAATGTGACAGTTGTTTTCCAGTCGCTCCTTTGGTTGATATATAGTCGAGCTTTTGGTTTGCCAGTTTTTATGGACTTTCCCTTCTTGAATTAACCTTCGACTTCGGTAAGGTGTTTATTACATTATTTGCTGCATATTAATTGATTTTGTTTTGAAACCTCTCTGGACTAGCTGCTTATATATATGGAAAATCGATGCGTTCTAACGAAGTGTAATGTTAGTAGACTTATAGGGCTTCAGGTTCCAATGATACTATTCCGATGTGCGTCGGTAGGTATGCGGAACTGTGGAGTCCGTGTAATTACCAAACAGCGTTACTAGAGACAACAGACACGGCTTTCTCCGCCTCATTTTTAGACTTATACCTCGAATTTGACCAAAGCGGTCATCTCAGTACCAAAATCTATGACAAAAGAGACAATTTTAATTTTGAAATTATAAATTTCCACCACCTTAGCAGCAAAACACCAACTTGACCTGCATATGGGATATACATTTCATTCGGTATTCGAGAGCTTGCAGCTGCTACCCAAACTTTATAAAAAGTCACCGGTGTCTAAGCAGAAAGTTAATGAACCTGGGTAATGTCAAAGAACGTCTCGTCCTTTTCTAAAAAAGTTCATCGGGAGATACCAAGACCTTGTTGAATAAAACTTTTCTGACTGGGTTCCATTAATATATCCTCTAGAACTAGATATTAAAGAAACAACAGACACGGCTTCCTCTGCCTCAATTTTAGACTTATACTTCAAATTTGACGTAAGCGGTCATCTCAGTACCAGAATCTATGACTAACGAGACGATTGTTATTTTGAAAATATCAATCCCCCCCACCTTAGTAGCAATATACCAACTTCACCTGCATATGGGATATACATTTCCCAACTCATTCGGTATTCAAGAGCTTGCAGCTGCTACTCAGACTTTGTAAATCGTCACCAGTGTCTGAGCAGAAAGGTGATGAACCATGGGTATGGTAGCAATACACAGTTAGGAGTGTGGTTTCGCTTTTTGGCTCCTGTGGATTTTTCAAATATGAAAGTTATTGTGAAGTAAAATTCATTTTTTAGACAGCTGAGTACTAATTTAGCCTTCAAAGTTGGTTTATAAGAACATCAAGATTATTTTTTACACGTTTATGGGTTATTTGCTGTTTGACTGTGCGTATTTTCATAGCTAGACCGGCCAGGAAATTAATGTAATATTTACAAACAATTTTTCCTACTCGAAGAAGTTTTTGACTCGATTTTTCGAAAAAATGAGACGACAGACATATGATTTAAATTTGATTTCTTGATTTCTTCACTCTAAGGGATTGAAATTCTACTTCTGGCCAAATTTTGGGGAAATATGTGACATATTTACCCCCCCCCCCCCCCCCCCTCCCCCGCCCCTTTTTGCATTTTTCAATAGCAAATACATGCAGATTGTTGCCATGGATACACCAAAAAGAAATTATATTTTACCATTTTCACTACTGTATATCAAATCTATGGAAGATACTGATTACATACATATGCACATATATGACACAAACAGTAAGCGTAATTTGCAAGAAAGCAAGGAACAGGGGATGGTAAAATTTATGAGAGGTAAATTTTAATATTTTTTCCTAGATTCTAGGTACTGACGTTGGTCATAATCTTAATTACGTGTTATAGTGTTCTTTTTCTTTGTGTGCTTCTAACCTTTGCTGTTTAGTCCATTATTTGGTAATATACTTTTGGCGGGGCTCGGTATTTATACATTACGCCATTGTGGTTTTTTTTTGCCATGGTCATTTTTGTATTCTTGTCTTTCAATTTTGCTTATGAACTTTGTCTATAGAGTGTCTAAATACCATTGTGTTTGCTTTGTTGAAATAGTTATTTGTTTTTTAAGTGATTAAGATTATAACACAATTTTGACTGCTGGCAACAGTAGTATACCGCTGTTCGAAACTCATAAATCGATAGAGATAAAAACAAATCCGGATAACAAACTAAAACTGAGGGAAACGCATCAAATTTAAGAGGAGAACAACGACACAACAAAAACACAACATAAAAATGTAACACACACAGAAACGAACTATAATATAACAATGGCCATTTTCCTGACTTGGTACAGGACATTTTAAGACAAAAATGGTGGGTTGAACCTGGTTTTGTGGCATGACAAACCTCCCGCTTTTATGGCAACGTCAAACACAACACCAAAAACGACAACATCACATGACAGGACCACAATACAAATAAATGGGAGAACATATAGGACAAAGAAACACACGAATAATAGCTAACAAAAGGTACTAGGCTTAAAATTCAATACGCCAGACGTGCGTCTCGTCCACACAAGACCAACCAGTGACACTCAGATGAAAAAAAGTTTGAAAGCCAAAACAAGTACAAAGCTGAAGAGCACCGATGACCAAAACTTCCAAAAAGCTGCGCCAAACACGGCCAGGGTTTTCTGCCTGGGACAAGAACATCCTTATTATTTAGAATAATTTATAATTTTGCAAACAGTAAATTTTATAAAATGACTATATAATAGATATACATGATAAAACCGAAGTGGGGACTAACTACAGAATAAAAACGGATACATTACATAAAACAACTTAATCTAACACATGAAAATACACAGCCGAGTTAGCAAAAGCCTCAACGCACAAAGTGGCGTCACATTTGAAATTCTAAAAAAACACACAAAGTGACGTCACATTTGAATTTGTAAAAATATATCCCAATAATAAGATAGGATTAGGATTGATTCAAGATTAGATTTGTAATACTGACATTACATTTATTAATAACAATGAAAATTACAATACTTATTAATATCAAATTGTGGTAGTAATTAGATAATTAATTGTATTATCTAGCTATGTCGGTGTTTCTTCTGAAGCAAACTTTAAACCAAATATATCGTATAAATTTCGTTGAACCAAGCTAAAATCTAATAAATGTAACCCAATTTTTGACATTTTTACCTATTATGTCTGTTTGTTTTGCTCACACATTGTTGTCAGTATAATGAAACTCTATGCGACTGTCATACAAGTGAGAGATTTAGCTAGCTATAAAACCAGGTTTAATCCACCGTTTTCTATATAAGGAAATGCCTGTATCAAGTCAGGACTATGACAGTTGATTTCCATTCGTTAAATATGTTTGAGCTTTTGATTTTGCCATTTGATAGAGTTCTTTCCGATTTGAATTTTCCTTGAAGATCGATATTTTTGTTATATTAATTTGTACCGTCTAAACATAGATAGTTTGTTGACACTCCAAACTTCTACACCACCCAGATAAATTAACACCTATTCAGTGATGATTATAATTATGTGTAAATCATATACCGATAATTATATCTACTGGTTGGTATCCTTTCATCACACGTTTCTACGTGACACACGTGACACACCATTAGAACCTACAGAGTTCATTTCAAAACAACTATAAAATTATATATTATCTGAATTGAATTTTTATATACTGTAAAAAAAAGTCCTCGCAATATGAGAATTGTACATGTCTGCTTTTTGTTTAACAAAAGAAGCGTACATTGAAAAAACGAATTCCGCAACAGTAGAAGTTTAAATTATGCATCAAATTCGTAAATAAATTTATTAATTTTGTTGTTGAACATTAACTGAGTCTGTATTCATCACTAACGACAATATTTTATCTAACCATTACATAAAATTCTAAATTAATGTTATATAAATATGACAAATACTTACAAATATAGACGATTATTACATATTTCATTTAGAAGGCTTAAATATACAGTTAAATCTCCAGTTACTTACTGACCAATCTATGTCGGAAACAGAATACAATGACATCTAACAATAATAGCTAAATGAATGAATATTGAATAAACAGTTGTCGGACAACTGAGATCCATGATTATCAAATCATCTATTCCTTGATTAAAGTCAACTTTACAGATTAATAAAAAAATTAGGTGAAAAACCATATGTTACATCCTTAATAATTATACTTTTATATCAAACAAAGATAGTGAAATGACTGGCGTTAATCACTGACATACAGTGCAAGTTTTTTGACAAAATCGGAGCATATATCCTGGATTTGAGGTACAACTTTTACCTCTTCCCCATATTGGACAAAGTGTATGTTCATCACGACAACCTACAATAGATAAGGATTTATCACAAACAAAATTACATAGGACATAATATAGATATTAGTTATAGAATTAAATGCTGTTGCCTTTATTAATCTATACGAAATTAATGCATGTGACCATCACATTTTGAATGAACGGCAGAAGAATCTCCTTGCTTAAGACGTGACCGTCATTTACTTTCATATCATATGAGTTTTAAATAAACATTGCTTTGAATTCTTATATTTACATTTTTTCGGAATAATATATATTTATATATATATATGTTTTTTAACATTTCGAATTTGAAAATATAACTTCAAACACAAAACTTCGGCAGAATCTTATTTGTCTAATCATATGAAAATAGTCGATTTCAAAGTACATAGCTCGTAAAATATTCATTATACATGTATGTTATGTGAAAATAATTTGTTGTTACATATTCCTTTTACAATATTTTAGAATCTTGTGTTGTTTTCATACGGCAGCGGTTGCATTTATACGATATGGGTTGTTCTTGAACAAATTTAAAACATATAACAGAAGTTTTAGCCAATAAAAGATCATCATTTATATGAATTAAACATCTTCTGCAAATATACAAAAATACACAAGAAAAACGATTGCAATCACGCAGATGCTCAATAAATAGCAAACTTACAGACTCTCAAAAATTAGTCAAACCTGGATTGAAGTACAAAACGGAATGGCGGGCTGGACAAGATTTAGTCGAGAGGTTTCAAATGGGTAAAACGTGTCCAGCTTTAGGAAAAGGACTTTATGCTAAGTTTGAGAGTGAAAGGTTCAGTTAACACATCAATAAACTTCGTTAATTAATTTTAATTACTCATAATTTCTAAAAAGAGGACTCAATGTAATGCCCAGACAAACAAAATGCATCAGCTTTTGTTTGTTATCATGATTTATATTCTTAGTCTCTTTATGAGATTTGAACATCAGTAAATAAAGGCAACAGTAGTAAACCGCTGTTCGAAACTCATAAATCGATAGAGATAAAAACAAATCCGGGTTACAAACTAAAACTGAGGGAAACGCATCAAATATAAGAGGAGAACAACGACACAACAAAAACACAACATTAAAATGTAACACAAACAGAAACGAACTATAATATAACAATGGCCATTTTCCTGACTTGGTACAGGACATTTTAAGAAAAAAATGGTGGGTTGAACCTGGTTTTGTGGCATGCCAAACCTCCCGCTTTTATGGCAACGTCAAACACAACACCAAAACGACAACATCACGGTAAACTAGTGTTGCCTATATTTATACCTGTATTAAACTTTGTATTTTTTATGAAGCTTACCACAGAAAAACGACAAGATACAACCTCGGTGGTTATTTTTTGGCTTTTTAGTGTGTGTGGGGGGGGGAGGGAGGTAACAGTTGTTGCTCACAAGAGATGTAAGTTATTACCTTTGCTGTTGTGCAATGTTTGCAATGTGAATAACAAGGTTTTAAAAGTTATCGTCAAAACATTTTTTCGAAATAGTTCAGCCCTCCATAATGAATTAAACTCCCAGCAAGCAGCTGTATGGTCTACAAGCCAACGTTCAGTTTTGTGCATGGAATGATTGTCTTGTCTTAATCTTGTTGATATATCTTATGGAAATAAGGATCTTATCAAAAACTGAGAGAAGATTGGTTAGAACTTACTAAACGAAAACCATGTAACATGCATATATAACATTCTCAGTAATACTCACTGTCTTTGCAATTATTACAAGATTTTTTACAATGACGTAATGCATAGCTAGGATTATTATCACATGCTCCACTTCTCTCCCAACTATCACAGTCCTGATTGTCATCTTCACAATTATCTTTAACGAAATAATGAATTAATATTGAATGATATTATTAGCACAAATTATCGCCATAACTTTGATCGAACGAAAATCAGTTTCAAAAGGAGCAGGTATGATACGAGCCATTATTTGGTCCCTGAAATTGCATATAAGTACCATTTGCCAAGCTTTTAAAAAGTATGTCAGTTTTATTGATAAATAACCAGGTTGAAATAATCTGGACACTTTAGTTCACTTGTGGTGTCACTTTAATGTCATAATACATATTTTCGCTAGAATCTTATTTAAATAAATTTAGGACGAAATAGATATAAAAAAAATAATTTGCACGCATATAAACAACTTATAAAATATATCTTGAAGTTCATATATCTAAATATTAATGAACCGTTCTCAAAATAAGACTTTTGCAGGTTATTTTCAGTTTTGCACCAAATATATGAAGTTTGAAGCTAAATTGCAAATGTGAAACTCTTCACTTGGTTCGAAATGCGCTATATGTCTGTAAAACAAGAAAATGTGGTATGATTGTCAATGAGACAACTATCCATCGGAGACCAATGGACGATAATGTAAACAATTATCGGCACATGTAAAAGTAATGATGTGTAAAAGATTTAATTGAATATCTATCATACTTGTGTTTGTATTACGGTCTCTTGTACCACCATCATTTACCACGGTGCCGTCATCATTATGGCTCCTGTCCTCTCGGCCGGCAACCGTCGTTGTCCTCCCGACATCTGTATCTTCTCTGGTGTTCGGACATACACCACATGCCAGTTTACATGATTTGAGCATGTAGTCTGGGTTTATTTCACAATGTTCATGTCTTGCCCAGGCTTCACATTCCTGTCGTTCATCAGTACATTCAACATCATCTAAAAAGTCATTAATTAATATCGATGAAAGTTGAATGATTGAACACCTTTCAAGAATTGTACAAACGTATACAAAGTATATAGATAATTCATAGTTTTCTGATTATTATTTTTTTCAACCGCCATTTTTTGGTTACGCTTTTTTGCTATTTTATGGTTTCAGATGTTGCATTAAAAACTTAATTGTTTCCAAAATGAAGTTTGAAGCGTTACAAGAATGAATCAAGAGTATTTCCAAAATGAAGTCTGAAGCGTTACCATGGTATAAACAAAGAGTTGCCGGAAAAGAAGCCTGTAGAAGCGTTATATTAGAATGCAGCAAGAGTGTTTCAAAATGTACTGTGAAGCCATAGCATGGTATAGAAAACAGTTGCCAGAATAAAGTCTGCAGCAAAACCAGGATAAAGGCATGAGTTGCAAAAATATAGTCTGCAGCGTTACCAGAATGTAGCATGAGTGTTCCCAGAATATAGTCTGCAGCGATACCAGAAGATAGACAAGAGCTACCAGAATGTAACAGGAGTGTTTTCAAAATGTAGTCTGAAGCTTTACAGAAATGCTACAATAGTGTTTCTTTTCTAATTTTGTTGTGTTTTGTTGTGTTTTGCTGTGTTTTTGCTTTACTTTGAGATAAGCTCTCTCATGTTCAAAAATGTTAACGTTAAATAAGATTGTTTAATAGTATATATAGAGAAAATTAAGATCGACAGGTATCGTATGATAATGAGGTTTAAATTGTTAAGGGGGTGCCGTTGCTTGTCCATATAAGATGTTTCTGAAATATGTGAATCTTTCAGGTGTCAATTTGGAATCAGATTGTTTTCCTATTTAGAACAATTTTCCGTTCTTAAAGTATTTTAAATGATTAATAAAACAAAAAGCTAAATTACATAAAAAATCCGACATGAAATGTTTGTATGAAAGTGCTTACAATGCTATGTTCAATATAGATTACATTTACAAGGGACATAACTGCTGTAAAAATAATTGATTTTAACTTGTACCAAACATTTTTGATATACTGTTTTATTATATATGATTAAAATCGCCTATATATTACATATTATTCTGGTTTTGGAACCCATTTATTTTGTGATCACAGTGTGTATATTGTAATGTGTACTTACCAGTACTAATTACCGTTTCTTCGTCATCTTGATTATTTCGTCGTCTTCCTACATTAGTGTCACGATCATTTTGTGTATCAGTAGTGTCACCATCGTCTTTTTCTTCATCCTCGTTTTGTTCTTTATCGTCATCGAACACATCCATGTCCATTTCGTTACATGAATGACAGGCTTTTGCACAATTTCTCCTCATCCAAGAGGGATTCTTGATGCATTCAGCTCTACTTGCCCACCTGTCACATTCTGTATCATCGTGATAATTTCTACAGGAACCTAAATAAAATCCAAAAGTTTTTTTTAATAAGATATAAGTTGGTGCTTTTACAATACCTGTGCAATGCGATTTGGAAAAAAAAAACGACAGCTAATTGGGTTACTTCGGAAAATTCAGGATATCTAATACTAACAAAATCCCAGTGTCATAAAATTGGATTACATATCTGAAAATGTTCGCATAATTTCAATAAACAGGCATGTATTCTGCAGTAATTTTGGTTTGGTTTATAGCACTACAGTCATCTTGTATATTATTTCTATGTTTCAAATATGAAAATAAAGAAGGAGATGTGGTATGATGGCAAAACTTACGTCCATCAACCTCAGACATCTTTAGATTTTTAACCTTCCTTTTTTCTTTTCCTTTTCATCGAATCCAAAAAGATGAGATGATGTGGTATGTTTGGTAAACACACTCAACTTTTAGTTTTTTAATTTTTTTGTTTTTTGTTTTTTTGTTTTTTTATGTTGTCCAGCTTTGTTTCAGGATTTTAGACTAACGGTGTTTCTTTTATTGTATCCGATGCTGTTACCTTTTTTCACTTTTCTTTATATTAATACAAGAAATTAACGGTTAACTTAAAACCCTAAAAATCGTTTGTATTGTAATAAAAACAGTGTTACCTCCAACGCATCTATCACATGATTTTCTACAGTTAGGAATCATCCAATCGGGATTGACAGCACATTCATTTTGGTCCGCCCACCGTTTACATTTTCTCGTATCATGCAGATCACGGCAACTTCCTGTAATAACAACTGACATCAGCAAAGCATTCGGCACAACTCGGTAGAACTTACAAATGTCAGGTAGCGTAATCGGTCGATATTTGCTGAATGACGAGTAAAGTAGCAACACAGTAATGTTCAATAGTTTCATTTTAACTGATCAAATCTTACCCAAATTTTCATATCATTAGATGTCTTCAGACTGATGCATATATCAAAATTCAATAAATATTGATGTATGGAGGACCTTATTTTTTTTTCCATTTCCACACTTAAAGTTTATAAATTAGTGCGCTAGGTGTTTTGGCTATGTCATGGATTAGCCGCACTTTTTTATGACCCGTTTTGTGTTGATGACTTTTAATTAGTCATGTGAATTTGTCTTGACAACATCTATTCATTGACAGCAATACTTATATATCAGTGCAATATTCATTATAGACTCTATATGTCCTACTCTGAATTATCAACAGACAAATTTTCATTAACCCCCTAAAACATACAACATTCTAAAGATTTCTATCTTACTGGCTGTTCTACCACTTCTATCTTCTTCTTCTTCTTCGGTGTCATCGTCATCGTCGTTATTTCCAGAGTCATCTTTTTGTGGTGGCTGCTCTGTCGTTAGTTTGTGACAAAGTCTACAAGATTTCCTACAATTCTCAGTCATCCAGAACGGGTTAATGCCACATTCTCCCCTTTTCGCCCACCCGTCACATTTTTCACTGTTGTCGTATAAATTCCTACAGTTTGTAGTCGCATCAACTGAATCAAAGTATTCTCGATATAAAAAGTAAGATATAAAAAGTAAGATATAAAAAGTAAGCAGGTTTGGTGTAATGCATTTATCTATTTAAATAGAATACAAAAGGTAAACAACACACAACAAAACTTTTGTATGCGACCCAAAAAAAACAAACAAAATATGTATTGTAAATTATCAGATAAGCACAACTATATCAGAATCACAATTCCCTGTACTAAATAGCTGCATATATTGAATTATGCGTTCTCAAAAGGCTATTATGCATTAGTGAATATTATATTTTTTAAATTGGAAAGATTATTATTATCCGAATTGATTTGAAAAGTTGATTTGAGTTGTTAAATCTCTTGATGAATATAAAACGTATCATCTTGTTTGTACAAAACAATGTAGCAATTATTTTCGGACTTAAATAAAACAAGAAAATAGCTGAAGTATGTCTGATTTATCTGGAAGCGACTGTCTAGAACATGTCTGAATTATCTGAAAGCAAATGTCTAAATCATGTCTGAATTATCTGCTAGCGAATGTCTGAACCTTGTATAAAGTTCAGAACTGCATGCTAACCCCTATGTGTCTTTATATTATTTTATTGTGTTATTGTCTTTTTGACATACAATCTTCATCTGATTTTATTCATATCCATTGCAAAAGAGGGACGAAAGATACCAGAGGGACAGTCAAACTCACAGGCCAAAAATAAAAAGACAAACAGACAAATAATAGTACAGATGACACAACATAGAAAACTAAAGACTAAGCAAAACACGAATCCCACCAAAAACTGAGGGTGATCTCAAATGCTCCGGAAGGGTAAGCAGATCCTGCTCAACATGTGGCACCCGTCGTGTTTCTTATGTTATTACAAATCCGGGAAATAGTCACATTCGTGAAAAGGGAAGGGTATTGTAGTTACGACATAAGGAAAATATCCGATATCGTATGTGAAACGGTTATTCCATAACGGTCAACCAACTCGTGATGACGTCCGTAAAATTTACGAAGGGGTGATTTCAACTTCACCATTTGGAACTCTTGGTTTAATAGCTTCCTTGTGAGCAGCAATCCTCTATCAAGGAAATCATGATAGGGAATATCGTATCAATTGGGAGATATATACTCAGTATGCAGGCGCTGCTGGAATGTTGCTACATAGAAATGGAAAGTTCACAATTGGGAAGCTGAAATCATCTCTTTTGTCGTAAATGGCTCTATATAACAATTCAAAGTCCACTGTCTTTACATTTTTATACAAATAACCCATGTTTGATTGATAGAAATGTTTTATTTGAGAAAGATTTTTTGAGAAACCAATTTACATTTACAAACACTTAATTCAGTATTAACAATTATAACAAAAATACTGAACTCCAATGTAAATTAAAAAAGGGGAGTCCATAAAAACTGACAAAATAAAATGCGCTATCAATCAACGAAAAAAGTGAAAAACAACTGCCATTATCCTGATTTGGTACAGGCATTTTCCAAAGAAAATGGTGTGTTAAACCTGGTTTTACAGCTAGCTAAACCTCCCAATTGAATGGCAGTTGTTTATCGTTCCGTTATATAGATTAAATTAGTTAAGCAACCCAAACAGACATAATTGGTTAATGTGACAATAATTGGGACTCAGCAGCCAAAACTGTGTAAACATACATCACAGACATACAAAACAACTGACTAAAAAATTCAAACAAACATACAAATTAATCTAACAATGACGCCAACAATAAGGTGTAGTATATAGTAATAAACTCATCATAGATGTCAGTATAAAAATTTTGTACGCCTGAATTCGTCTACAAAAGTCTCATCAGTGACGAAATTTGACAATGACGTCAACAAAAAAAGTTTTTGTCGTTGATAATACATACCGTATATCGTATACACTTTCTCAATAAAGTAAAAATAAAGTACACATACAAGGGTAAACCCTTAAATAAGTTTTAAAACTGTAATGTCTTACATTCTGCACGCCTTTTGTTACACATATTGCAGGTTTTTCTACAATTTTCAGTCATCCATTCCTCACTTGTTACACAATCACCTAGACTCTCCCATTTTTGACATTTTGCAGGAGCAAACTTGTCTGTGCATTCAGCTTTAGATTAACAAAAAAAAAATATTTGTACATTTCGATAAAAAAAAGTATGTATATTTTAGTGACATACCGAGATTGCAGTAGAAAAAATCACAAGTGAAACAAGAACTGATAGCAAAATGCGTAGATGACAAAAAAACATATAACATCATTTTAATCTTTTAATTTTATATTTGTTAACATTATTGTTTAGCACTTGTTTGAATTGATACCGCTGTTGGTACTAAGGTTCCAACTCCCTCAGGCACAGTTGACCTCAGGTTTTGGCTAGTATTTTTTAGATCCTTAATAGTCGTACAGCTCGTTAAGACTTCAAGTATTAATACATTCTTGGCTTTCACTTTTTGGGTCTGAGCATCCCGGTTGAAGGTAAATCCAGTAAAGAGCTTCGGAGGAACCACAATCATAATGTGTAATTATCATTTGCACAAATCTTTCATAGAAAAAGTAAACATTTGGCAACACGAATCCTGCCAATGGTATTTTTTACATATACCGGTACTCACTGCATTTGAAAATTGTATAGTGTCTGATATAATACATACAATATATTTATGTATTTACGATATATATGTGTTGCTTAGTTTTCATTTGATTTCAAAATTACCTGTTCAGGGATTAAATTTCAAACTGACAACTGTCGTTAGCATAACAATATTAAACCAAAAACCAAAAAGATACCGAAATTGAAAGAAGTAATACGAGCCGAACGACTTGAAAGTCACTTAAATGTGTGTGAATTATAATAAAACAAAATACCTATTGACCAGTTCCTAGGAAATAAGTTTGCAAATGTTCCGAGCCACATCCACGCCCATGTCATCACATGATCTCCTGAAAGAATTTAATCTTATACACGGATATTTAATTCATCAATTAAAAGATTGATGAATCATTGAAGAAAACCATATAAAACAAAATATCTATGTAACACGACAATTGGGATACATTTAAGCTTTAGAAAGATCCAAGCTGGCAACTCGGATAACTTTTCCTATGATTATCAAGTAGATTATTTCTAACATGTTTACTAATTTATTCAAAATATTGAGGAGTTTAGAAACACAGCTGCCAAAGTCCTTAGCTTAAATTACAAAAAATATTCAGTTGTGGCAAGTTATAGTGCAAGGTTTAAACTTTTGATTGTATTACTGAGCACAAAGACGTTAGCATTGTGAAAATATATTTCAACTGGGAAAACTGCAGGCTGTGCGGATAAATCATGTACATTAATAACACTTTATCATGTAATTATATTAATTGAATAATAGCTTGATGGTTTCTTAACGACACCTTAACACGTGTATAATGGCTAATTCGTGGTGAGTATGGGATTCATATATATGAATAATTAAATACTATAATATAGTACATCTTTCATGTTCAAAATTATTATTACATGATAAATATTTGATAATAATTGTAACTACAATTTTTTTTTATCTTTATTTATCTCCATTTTAATACAAAAATAACCATACCCCTGTTGCTTTCAGCATCATCTCCACACAGTTTACACGCTTTCCTGCAGGATGTCAACATAAATTTTTTGTTTGCTTTACATTCACCTTGTGATGCCCAAACATTACATGCCCATTCGTCATACATATTTGTACAAGTATCTGAAAGATTTTCATTCTATAATTGATATAGTAAATTCATGGTTACCTTTAGGTAGTGCAATCTGTTCAGTAGTTTATGCACTTGCCACGCTTACAAACATACATACATGTATTGATAAATTTTGTTAATTGGTTTTGGTTGGTCCGCCCTGAATATATATTTTGTTTGTATATTTATACGCTTTATTTCTCAGGTTTCATACAACTTTTGGTTTACCAAACATTTGGTTCTCGCTTTCTATAAAAACCCAAAGTATGTCCCTTAATAATATAACACATTGGTTTCTGAATGAAAAGAGATGTTTTGTATATAAACAGAAAAAACAAATCCAGAGGTTATTAACCAGTCTTTAACGATAAATAGGTGTCTTTAAACAACGGTATATCAATCGCTCGGAATTCAGAAAAGATTGATAAATTTTACAGACTCTTTTGATGATATGTCATTTACATCAAATGCCCACAAAGACTTATCACATTGAGATATAATTTTAGACAATCTTTGACGAGGTTTTGGACAGACACCTGTACCAGTAACAAGGTATAGTAGTTCTTTATAGCACTCAGTACTCTTCACTACAATCTTGACCAGTGGTACAATAAACTCATCATAGATACCAGAATTAAAATTGTGTACGCCAGATGAGCGTTTCGTCGACAAAAGACTAATCGGGAACGGTCGAATCAAAAAAGTTAAAATAGCCAAATTAAGTACGAAGTTGAAGAGCATTGAGGACAGACAATTCTGAAAGGTGCTGCCAAATACGGCTAAATTAATCTGGGGTAGAAAATCTTTAGTATTTAAAACAAATCAAAGTTTTGTAAACAGTTGATTTATAATTATGACCACAACAATGATAATTCATGTCAACATAAACGTGCTGACTAGTGGGCTGGTGATACCCTCGGGGAAGAAACCTCCACCAGCAGTGGCATCGCCCAGTAGTTGTAAATAAACTCATCATAGATATCAGGATTCAAACTACTAAATAATACCGCAGCAAAGAATGCTTGCATTGGCATTTCAATGATTGCCTTGATTGAGTTTAGCATCAGATTCATTTGGAATTGTAACTGACTACGAATATATAGTATTAATTGGATTTGTTTATCTATTTGATCATTTCAGTATAGTACCGTCCTGTTCAGCATCAGTCCCGGTTGAAGGTTGGCCTTCCTGACAGTTCTGTGATCCATCTGGACAAATACATCTACAGTTCTGGTCAACAAAACCTCCATCTCGACAACGAATGTTTGAAGGACATCTTTCTGAAACAAACCAAGGCTGTTTAATAATTTGTCACAAAAGGCCAGATTAGTCATTTAGTTTTGCAGATTTGTTTCTAGAATTTGTTTTCATTAAGTATGACCTATCACGTTCACCTAAACGCATAAATTTATTTAAAATGATAAATACACTCATCATAAATACCAGGCTTATTTCACTTTTGTCCGTTAGATTTGTTTGTCACGCCATTTTAACTAGATTGCAAAGGATTGAGATTTAGTGTATTTTGAAAACCGGTTGTATGGTTGATGAAACCAAAGATAGCTAGGCTAAACAAAGGATTTAAGTAATTTCATTTATATATGAAATATAACCTTCAATGTGACTTCATTTTGTTACCTATTACATTTTAAGGAATCACATAATCTTATAATATTACCACCGCATCTGTATAATCTGTTGATCGCCTTGACATCACTGAAGGACAATTCTTTACGCCAAACCTTTCCGATAGTCTCCTCTTTAGATTTGTCCTTAGCTTTGATGGTTTGGGATTTGCCATCACTGGAAAAAGCCTTTTAAGAATATTATAATTTTGTTCTTATAAAAAAGTGAATGAACTTCTAGTTGCAAAAGGAAAAGAAAAAAAATCATTTTCGCGTTTATTTTTTTTACTTAAGAGATGAAATCCTGCTCTTCATTCATTCAATTTTATATAGTGGAATAACATTAGAAATGTAATTTCATCTCTAATGAACAGCTTTACCATAAACCGTTCGAACCTTATCATGTGCACTATCTTTTTTTGCCCTGTTCTTTTGTATTCGTTTGTTGCAAGTTTCATAAAATCAAGAACAAAGGTCAAGGATGAACGATTTCTGATTTTTCAAATTTTCAGTAGTATCACATATCTTGTCTCCCTTATAATAAAATGATAAAAGAAAATGTCAGAAATGATAATACAAATAACGGCAATCAATGTATGTATAATCTATACAAATATAGCGATTAAAGTTTAGGCTCAACTATAAAAGCTTGAACATATAAATGTCTCTGCGACAATGTTATTTCCATTTGCGAATAAAAAAGACAAAGATATGTCTTGACGTCAACGTTAATTTTACTGGAAATTTATTTTAAATAAAGACAACAGTAGTATACCGCTGTTCAAAAGTCATAAATCGATTAAGCGAAAACAAATCCGGGCTGCAAACTCAAACCGAGGGAAACACATCAACTATAAGAGGGAAACAACGGAGCAACAGAAACACTGAACTGCGACAAAAACAAACGCCAACATACATAGAAACGAACTATTCGATAACAACTTTTTTTAAGAAAAAATGGTGGGTTGAACCTAATTGTATGGCTAGCCAAACCTCCTGATTATATGGTAATGTTAAACATACCGCTAAAATGACAACACTACGTGACAGGAATACAGTACAAACAAACGCAAGTATACTCAGCACAGAGAAATACATAAATAAATCAAATAATAGTACATTACAACATGTAAACCGCAGAATAACTAACGGACGAATATTTTGTACACGAATGTGCTTTTCAAATTCGATGCGCTAGCCTGATTAGTGCATTTACCTTGATGCTTTGAATCCGGAATTCCGCATTTTTATAATAACATATTCTGTTATACAATTACAAGCAGTGATTAAATTCTGACTTTGTCTGATATTATTAGAATTAGATTATTACCGTAATCCCATAATGCATAACTGACGAATATTCATAAGTGACATCATACTGGTTGACTTCTTGTCCCGAATATTTATTAAACCAGATACGCATACTCGGTTCGACATTGGAGTACATAATTTCTATATATTCATCTCTGTTTGGAAGCTGGTGCTCGTGGACCAGACCTAAAGCATGTCCAATTTCATGCAGGTATAGCCCTTTCTGGAAATAAGATAAACAATATCAGCAGTCTTTTAATTTGATTCATATTGCCCGAGTGCTGGCCAGTTTTCAGGCTTTTCTTTATTTGCAAGTGAATATAATTAATGTTCACTTGTCTACATTGTATTCAGTTTCCATGGTCTAGGATATCTAAACATCTTATTTTCCTCGATATAAAGTAACTTTAATTCGTTTTTCCCGGTTCTATCAATGATTGATTTATGTATCCAGCAATACAGCAAACCCTTCTTTGGTCTAGTATCGTGATTACCACATGTAGTTATAGGTTTTTCTAGCTAACAGTTAATTGACAGGTCTCACAGTAGTGAAACCGGAATATCAACCTATCCAAAGCACACGTGTTTAACTTTGGTTTTTGTTTGATTCGTGTTGCTAAATGTTTACTTTTCTGAATAATGTTTATGGACTCTTGGTCGTATTTTTGTCGTTTTTTGTGAATCAGGGAAAATAAGGAACATATACCCAAGACAGTACATTGGTCTTTTAAACTTTTAACTTTTAGAATCCCCAGAAAAGACGGTAATTATAGACTACTACAATTAAAAAAGGTATAACATTTTTACCATTTGGAGATTTTAAAAAAGTGTCCAGAACTAGTGACTTTATTTCAGGTAGTAGACATTTCAAACTTCAGTTTTTATCATGTTATTATGTACCAAATGTATTTTAACTTTGTACACAGATCAGTTAATATTTATTTCCTCGCATTTACATTTTAGGCATTAAGATTAATGCCTGGACACATTTTTGGCAGTATTTAAGAATAATGCCTAACATCATTTATAGACAATAGACTTACTGCCTAGGCGTTAGCGTATTGCCTAGGATTTAAGCTTAATGCATAATTTCACTTATTGCCGCCAACATATATAATACGTAGTCTTTAATGTTGTCTTCAACTTGAATTGTTCGATCTTCAATTATTTGTATTTGGTCAAACTTTTAGGAATTGTTGGTCCTCAATGCTCTTCAACTTCGTATTTTATTTGGGCTTTTTAACTTTTTTTTATTCAAGCGTCACTGATGAGTCTTTTGTAGACGAAACTCGCGTCTGGCGAAATAACAAAATTTCAATCCTGGCATCTATGATGAGTTTATTTACTGAACATCAGATTTATACAGAATTTAAGGAAAACACTCTTGGTTCACTATAAAATTTGACCAATGATAAACAATGGTCGACTTCTTATATCAATTGAGTATAAACACCCAGATTCGAATAATGTTAAAAACCATGCATGTAAATAAATTTCGAGTCTGAAACGGTTATCATGTGAAAAGTCTGAACAATAAATTATTCAGTCATGTTAAGTCTTTCATTCAATTTTCAGACTTAACCACCGCGGTAAATTCAGTACCGTTCAGACATTTCACTTCTTCAATTCAGTACTAATGGTGTGTACAGGTAAATAACAAAATGGTCCGATCTTAATTGAATGTAAGCTATTTGTCTGAACAGTACTGAATTAACCACAGTGACTAAATCTCAAAATTGACTGAAAGACTGAAAATTACTTGAATAATTATTGTTCAGTCTTTGAATACCTGTTAAGATCAAATGGGTTTACTAGTGATGAGTGATGTTTAAAATGATTCATACAAAAAAAGTTCGAAATGTTTGTACTTTTTAAATTAATTATCGAATTATACCATTAAAATATTCATATTCGTATAGATAATAGGAAAAATGTCATATGTTAGATAAAATACAAAGAAATTCAAAGTGGTTCCATTAACTCACATTACTTCCTCTTTTTCAATAACAATGAAATTATCTAAAATGAAAATGTTTTAAAAAAAATATTTTTTTAAGTGTTTTTTTTTTTACTAAGCAAATCCAAGTACTTTATTTAAAAAACACATATAAATAAGTGTATAGACATATTGTTAGTAACATGGGATATGCAATCGTCCTCAATAATAATGTGCTAATGGATTACATGCTCTCTGTAGAATCTAATTTAAATTAGATGTTCCATTATCCTTTCTTTTTAATATACACAGATCAGTTAAAATCAATACCAGAAAGGCAAACAAAACATGTAACTTTTATTAGAATTGTTTTTTTCTCATAAATACCCATCTGCACCCATTAACGTCAAGATTGAGTACTTGCATTCCGCCAACCATTCCAAGTTGAGAATTACATCTGAAGTTGTAATGAAACTATTCTAACTTGACAAGCTATGTACAATCCAAAATATATATATTAAATTGTATGGCTTTCCAAATACCGTTTCGATTCCTAACATCACTGAAGAGACATTAATTGTCGAAATCCGGATATGGTGTACAAAAACCTGTGCACCTTTTGTTTGCGGTATAACATCTTTACCGCAAGTTTATTGTTTTCTGTTTAGTATTAAATTTATATTTAAGATCCATTTATTACATCGGTGATCCGTTTATTTGGCAATCGCCAATGGCAGTCAGCAGGGTTTAAGAACATTTGTTGTTCGACCTGTTAGTCAAATGCGTTTTGTTAAAATATACTTTTTCACTTTTTTGGTCTTTTGGAAAATGTTGTTTGTGCTGTATTTAGACCCCTCTAACAAGAAATTTGTTTTGCATGCACACGTGTAAAAATTGCGGTTTTTATCCAACGCAATCATAGGTTTGAACGTTGTTTTCAATTTAGACTTGTATATATATATATATATATATAAATGAAATAAGCTTATTGTGTCTTATCAGTCTCATTTTCTTCTACCTTAAATATAGCATTATATATAGAAAACTCTAGTCCAAAAAGCCTTGTACAAATGGTATTTTTATGTTTTCGATTAGAATAAAAAAAGTTTAAAGTTAACGGCATAAAACCGAATGGCTTGCTAAGACAACTTTAATAAATACACACCATGAGCATCTGAAATCTTACTTATATAGCTCTGGTCACTAGTTGTAAGAATATCTATCCATTCCCTCCAGATATCTAACAAAGCTCTGGTTGTTAATTGTATTCATATCTGACTATTTCCTTCTGATATCTTAACAAAGCTCTGGTCGCTAGTTGTATGAATGTCTGACCATTCCCGTCTGATGTCGAACAAAGCTCTGATCGCTAGTCGTATGAATATCTGACCATTCCCTTCTGATATATAACAAAGCTCTGGTCGCTAGTTGTATGAATATCTGACCATTTCCTTCTGAAATCTAACAGAGCTCTGAACGCTAGTTGTATGAATATCTATCCGTTTACTTCTGACATCTAAAAAGAAAGCTCTGGTCGCTAGTTGTATGAATATCTGACCATTCCCTTCTGATATCTAACAAACTTCCGGTCGATAGTTGTATGAATATCTAACCATTCACTTCTGATATCTAACAAAGCCCCGGTCGTTGTATGGATATGTGTTTGAAAAGTTTCAAAGCTTCGACAAATACAGATATATCATACTTACCCAGTATAATATCGTATTGTATCGGTCAATGAAGAAGTTAGAAGATACCAAGGTCAATGAAGAAGTTAAAAGATACCCAGGTCAATGAAGAAGTTATAAGATACCAAGGTCAGTGAAGAAGTTAGCAGATACCAAGGTCAATGAAGCATCGTAATCGTACAAATGGCTGCAGAACGTTACACAGGAAACCAGAGGCTGATCAGCACGTACCTTACTTAAAATTGAAGTGCACTGATTACTACGAGATGATAAGCAGTTTCTGCTTCACTAGAAAACCGCACCGTGCTGTTAAAAAATACCATAAATTTAGAAATATGTAGAGTTAGGTCCACTACTGTAGATGTACCTACCCCATTCCATTCTGAAATCTAACATAGTTCCGGTCGCTACGGGTTTTCTCCCTAAACTTAACACAAGAGTATTTCTCCCATTCACGCATTGCTACTTTAATTAGGTATTTCTCTTTGTCAGCTGGAATGAAATATTTTCTATCTTAGTAGTACAATAAACAATATATGCATACTTATATTTTCTTTATATTTCTAATATTTCTGTGAATTCAAATTTATGGAATGTATATAAAAAATATTAAGGGTTCAGAGGGAATTGCATACTCATTTCATACCATGTTAAATGTAAAATGTTCTACAAGCATACTCATTTCATACCATGTTAAATGTAAAATGTTCTACAAGTTGAAATATTCAATTAATTTTATATAACACCTAGACAAAAGATTCACTTGTACTAACATCTATGAAGTACTCACAAAAATGACCATCTGCAAAATAATAAGGCATAACGCCGTCCGCCCACCTCAAGTCTAATTGCCTTACGGCTTTCCTCTTCTTTCTTCTATGTTCAAAGAAAGGCATCTCACGCAGGTCACCACTATGAAATAAAACTAATGCTTTTATATAACAATAACAAACAAACAAATATTTGGATCCAGATATGATTTTTGATAATTCTTTTACAACATGTAAATGGTTAGTATTTCGACTTCATGCTTCAAGCAAAGTAAAAAAGGAGGAGTTTGTTGATACGTTTGAGTTTTATATTATTTAAACTAAACGAGAAAGTTGAAAAAAAGATTTACTTTTCCATATTCATAATCAGATTGGTAATGGACAAAATGTGTTGTAGAAACATAGTCTCTGTCGCATTGACATTTGTCCAAAATCTCTCATAAACGTTTTCTGTGTCAACACAGCAAAACAGGCTTACTATTCCGAAAGCTCTGATAAAGTACTTAACGGTTCCCCTGTCAAAAGTGGTCAGTCGAAAGTTGGCTATTCTGGCGGTTCATATAAAGTAGCAAATCGTTCATCCGTCAATCGTGACCAGTTTTTAATGTTGAAATAATATTCCCGATGCTTATATAAAGCAATTACCTTTGACTCGTCAATTGTGGCCATGCGGTCAAAATTTACTTACTAATCCGGGGGCTCGTATAATGTAATGGACTGTTCCTCAGTCCAATTTTGCGCGTTAAAAGTAGACTTACTTTTCCAGAGCATCAAATGAAGTTCTGTTTACCTCAGTCAATAATGACCAGTTAAAAGTTGACTTACTATTCTGGTGGCTCATATAAAGATAAATAGTCCTCTGTCAATTGTGACCAGTCAAAAGTTGACTTACTATTCTGGTTGCTCATTTAAAGTACTAAACTGTTCCTCTGTCAATAGTGACCCATTGAAAGTAGACTTACTATTCTGGTGGCTCATATAAAGTACTAAACTGTTCCTCTGTCAACAGCATGTCTAGTTCCGCTAAGATCATCCCTCCTGGGGATACCATGCTTTGTGCTGCAACTATTTGAAGAGATCAAGTTAGGTTTTGGTCAATCAGAGGTTAGTCTGCATTGTTGGTGCGGATTCATGTTGGTGCATTGAGAGCGTATGCACTCCCCTATTATTTATCGGGAAAATAGAGTGTTAGCATTATTTTTTTTAAATCGCCTTGCTATGTCCCCTTTCGTTGAACTCTGGATCCCCTTGATCTGTTTCCTGGTCTGTTCATTTTACGGTAAAGAAAAGTAAATTTAGGAAATAACCATGTTGTAAAGAGTCATTCACTTGAAAACTTTCGCAAAGTATTATTGAATTTATATTTTATTGTTTGCCGTTGGTTGATTTTACGATACAATGTTTAATGTTTGAACGTATTGACTGAAAACCTTGCTTCAGTTGACTTCTTTTTACCAATTTCAGCTTGGAGTAATGTATACATATTTGGTTCGTGTCAGTCTAGACCACAATATACTGAATAAAAATCAGCTACATACAGAGCAATTGCATGCAGAGAAATGGATGATTACATATACCGTATTATAAAATGGCGGAGACATACGCATTTCATGAAAACCGGTATGCTTTTTAATTTACAGCTGAAAGAAATATTTTGTTTTTAAATTTGTGTTTGCCATTATGCAAGACATTTGTATGATTAAAATGAAATGAAATCTGAAGGGCAGCCGCCGATTTTAGAAATGATTTCAGCAGGTACTTTGGTCTGGTTTTGGAATTCATTTCAGCAGGTATTTTGGTCTGGTTTTGGAATTCATTTCAGCAGGTATTTTGTTACCAAACATTAATACTGTATAAAATAGTTTATTGTCGTTATGCTTTTACTTAGGCTTTTGTCTTCTATCATACTTATTCTGGATTTTATCGCATGTTCTTGTATGCACCTTTGTTATTCTTGTGTTAAAGATTAAAAAAGAGATTGGTTTGAAAATAGTCTATCTAGTTTGTCTTTGGTGAGTTTCCAATCCTGCTACATATTAATAATTATGTCTGTCTAGGAACATCATCAGTTGTCTCTTTTTTTAATTTCTGTTTGATTTTATTTTTTGGTCACTTACGGAATTCATCGTTGGCAGCAGATCTTTGACAGTTGTTATCTATTCAAACGACTGTGTTATCTATTTACACAACTGTATTTTCTATTTATACGACTGTGTTATTTATTCACACGACTGTTGTGATTGTTGTGTGTGTGATCTTTTAGTGACATCAAAACATTACCAAAAGGAATGAACGGTTTACTAAGAATATCATCTTTCATATCTAATTATGATATTTGTGTTTGTTACACATTTTTGAAAAGGGCGTGATATGTATTAGATCGTGTAGTGTTGAAAATTTGGAGTTTACCTTCAATTCCACCCATTGCTCTAACAATAATTTGGTCCATGCTTAGATCAGTTTGGGCTTCTGGGCTGTTTATATCTTTAGGTTTGACACCAGTAATATTGGCTTTCCTTAGTTCTGCCATAGACTGCCCTTCACAGGAATTCCAAAAGACAGATACCTAGATCAAGCAATATATTATTTCAAAATTTTTAATAATCAAAATTGTGTTTATTCATTTACGATGTTTAAGAGTAAGTAACCTTTCCATGTGATTTAAATTTTCTTAACGTTTCTCTAATAAGTATATAGACTATTTTCTGTATATGTTTCACTCACCTACCGGAAATAGTCTTAAGAATACATCTCAAAGAATTTCAAGTATTCTTACAAATATTCTTAAAAATTGCATAATTCCTTTCTACGGTTAAGGTCTTAAAATCAATTTGGTTAAAAAGTTTATGTTATATACAATGAATGTAAGTGTCAATACAATTAGCATTTCGGTTATTTCCGTTGAGCAAGACGTCAGATACTCAATTATTTACTACACCTCATGATTGTTTCCTAATACCTTTGTTTTAATTGACTGACATGAAATATTGAAAGAATTGTAAGTATAACCATAAACGCCAGAATCCAATAAGATCTAAATATAAAGCTGTATGTAGGCGTAAGCATAGATCCAATGTTGTCATACAGAATAATAAGTGGGAGAGTATGATCATCTTTCCTACTATAAATAAAAGTAGATATCGGGTGTATGTCAATAAGACTGCAACCTAATGATACAAAAAATCAGTAGACATCCAGAGATGAAATTATGTCTGAAAATATTCTTTTCTAAATTCAGGGTTCTGAATGTTATCGAGTTTTGAATCGATGTGGTACCTCAGTCACGACCTCTCGCACTCGATCACTACAAAGGAGGATCACACAGAGAAACGTGCATATAGGGATATATGATTTTTTCACCGTTGTTTTATTGTATGATTGACAGAAAAAAAGATATGGTATGGCAGCTTTTGAAGTACTTAAATAGATGAGAAGCTGAATGACCTAAACGGACATTAAAATGATTTATTTTAATCAATTCAATATAAACTGTACGCTAAAATGTCTTTCTTATCAAGTTGCAGTTTGAACTCGTCTTTGCAAACTGATGAACTGATAAAATAATTCAGCTCGTTGCTAGAGAAAGATTTAGTATGAAGCAAGTGCAGTTTAATAAAAGAAAATATTCTTTCCGTCCTATTCTAGCGATCCACTATCTGTTTACTTTACAGGGTGTTACTACTACGAAGGGTTTGTCTAATTGAACAGATATTTATTCATCAGGAACACTAGTTTGTAGTATGACTTTGATACGGAAACTTTTATAAAACTTTATATGTAATTAGTTCTAAATATTGTTTTAGTGGTTATTAATCTATTGTCATGCATTTTGAAAAGAAAACTGAAATTCATTTGTAAGATGAATGAAAATTTTGTAAAAAAAAAAAGTCGAAAACGTTTTATTAAAGGTGATTAATTTTATTGTTGCTTTATCTAATTACGAACGAAATCAAAAATATTCGAAATACGAGTAAACAATATTTTGAATCACTCCACCTTGAAAGTTACATTATGCTTCAATATAACTTGCGCTTAAACATAACAATGTTATGCGTTCTCTTATGCATCTTCATTAGTTTAAATTATGTTTATCTATATATTTTCAAATTAGAATTTCTATAACCAGCTACTTCTAAGGGCGCATTGCATATGCACCAATGTTTTAAAAATACAGTATTTTATTTGCGTCATTTGCGCCACAAGGTTATATTTCATTTGCCCAAAAAAAATAATTACTAATTTTGCGCCATTTTCCAGGTATAAAAAAAGACGATCAAGTTTAATAAGTTGTATTCCAAATACAAGACTCGTATAAGAAATTTTGTAGAGTACCCTTCAATATGTAAGTGAGTTCGTTCTTATTTCTCATACATAACTGAAAGTCACTAAAAAAAGTATAAAATTGTACAATATACCATTTCGAGGTGACACGATGGACATAATTCTAACTGAGACAAATAGAGGAAATAAGACGGTATTTTTTACACCACAGTGGACAACACGTGCTGATTATCCAGTGTATTGAAGATAAGAGACACGTCTCTTATAGATGCAAAGAAGAATCCCTGTCTAAACAGATTGGGACAAACATAGTTGTATCAATCATAAGGAATTATTTTAGGTTTAATTATTAAATCTTTACGGAATTTATCATGCTCTATATTGTCATACTTCACAACTTCCATGTGTTTACGAGGGGTAACATGTAATGATGGCGTCATACTTCACAACCTCCCTGTATTTACGTGTTGTAACATGTAATGATGGCGTCATACTTCACAACCTCCCTGTGTTTACGAGGGGTAACATGTAATGATGGCGTCATACTTCACAACCTCCCTGTGTTTACGAGGGGTAACATGTAATGATGGCGTCATACTTCACAACCTCCCTGTATTTACGAGGGGTAGCATTTAATGATGGCGTCATACTTCACAACCTCCCTGTGTTTACGAGGGGTAATATGTAATGTTATTATACTTCACGTTAAAATGCCAAATTTTGATTGGCTAATACGAGGGTGTTAATTTACTCTATTACCCTTCATGGAGACGCTTGATCAAGTGTGCGCTTTATTAAATACGGATGGTTGTTATGTACAAGACGTCATAGTTTATTACTTTGAATTTGAAATTTAATCGACAGTAATAACAGAACATTCAGTATAATAAATTAAATAACACATATCTGAGAGGGTGATAGAGCAGATTGTTACCCCTCGAAAAGACATTGTCAACCTTGGCTTCGGCTCAGTTGACAATGTTTTCTCGGGGTAACAATCTGCTCTATCACCCTCTTAGCTATGTGTTATTTATATAATGGCGTCATACTTCACAACCCCCCTGTGTTTACGAGGGGTAACATTTAATGATGGCGTCATACTTCACAACCCCCCTGTGTTTACGAGGTGTAACATGTAATGCTGGCGAATGAAAGATATTAATACACGTAAATAATATAAATTGAATAGCATAAATGTTTTATACCTGTCACGATTTTTTGGCGCAAATTAAATACAAATTTACGCAAATGTAAAGCACTTCTTTTTTACATTTTAGAACTGTCCTTTCGTGTTAGGTGATTGGTTGAATAATATTTTTCTATAAATTAAAAATGTTTATGCATTGGAATAGCATGTGTCGTTAGTTTAATTATTCCAGGAATTACAACAACAAAAAAAGATTCCAAATGAAATACCATTTTGAATCTATAGAAATTCAAAATTGATTCTCTCCGTTATCAAACAGGCATATTAGTTTTCTCGTTTGAATTGTTTTACATTGTCATTTCGGGGCCTTTTATAGCTGACTGTGCGGTATGGGCTTTGCTCATTGTTGAAGGCCGTACGGTGACCTATAGTTGTTAATTTCTGTGTCATTTGGTCTCTTGTGGAGAGTTGTCTCATTGGCAATCATACCACATCTTCTTTTTTTTATATATAAATGGTGATGTAATAAAACTTTTGCACCGTTGGCAAATTAACAAGACAACAAAAGCATGTGACTACAATAGTATTCATAAAAATAAAAACACTTAGAATTTCTATAACCAACTTATAACTTATAAGTGTTTCCATCATAACTTTAATTGGTGAGCTTGTACAGAGTTGTCGCTTCTTTCCCTACCGCTTGTGTTCTTCCATCTGAGATCGCTACCTACACTGTAGTGTTCGAGCTTCACCCTTTTGCATGACACAAATAAAAGCTTTCTATTATTTAAAAAAAAATCATAATTACTAAATGGAAGGGTTTTGTTTAACTATTATGTCACCTGTGGGTGCAAAGCTTGCGAAGTTAATTTATTTAATAAAATGTCGTATAATGTATGTGGTTAGGAAGGCGTATCAGGTGGTTTTTTTTTATATTTCAATATATCAAATATACTTTAGATGAACAGCCTCTGCCTAACATGCATTTAGTTTACTCAGTGTCATATATACCTATAACCATAGTCAAGTGAGTTTGCTTTTGACATCATTTGTGTTTGCAAATGCTTATATCAGATATCAGTATACAAACATGAACCAGACACAAAACCCAAACATATATAGTTGTAAAGCAAGAATAAGATCATTTAGAGTTTATTGAAATTGGAGACAAGAATAAGTTTTGAAATTAAATGTTCAAATACGACTGAATAGTTAACTCAACTGATTTATCTATACTTACTGTAAAAAGCGAAAACAAGGAAACTACAAAATCCTTCATCATACTGGTAGAAGTAAAGCACTGTAATATCCAGACTGGACTTTATTATGGATATATTATGGTAGGTGGAGTGACTGACATCTTTTCTACCGGAAATAATGCTAATAAGTGTCACAAGTATCTCGGATGTAGTTAAGTTCAAGTCTTTTATAGTTAGTTTATTAAAATGATACTTTGTGAGGCAGGCCCTGTTCGAAAAAAAAATCGATTTTGTGTACAATTGAAATAAGAGTTTCATTTTGATAGAACTTTGAACACTTTGTCACTGCACTTCCGATAAGCACGAGGAAACTCGTGCAACCGACAAAGTACAAAAAAGCCAATAAGTAAAGTCAAAGTTGTCCATTTTTAGAAATAAAATTGAAGTTCAAATATATGTTCTCGTGCTAATTAGCGATATTTCACTAGGTGCATCCTCAGCATTGCCATGGCGTTGTCAGTTTGTCTTCGATTTGTGATTTTGGATACCTTCCGCCTCTCAAATCAGGTATGAACATTAAACAGCTTCAAAAATTGCCCGTTTGAATTGTTTTTAAGGAGACTTCGCGAAATCTATTAGGAGTGTTGTTTCTGATTTTTTTCCTTCTGGGACAGGAGCTGTGTCCACCTTAGAAAGCTTCCTTTAGTAGCAAGTATATTTTGACCCTGCTTTTCCCGACTCCGTGATGGTAAAGTTTATCACTAAGTAGCCTTCTGTACGTCACTTTGTCAAAAGCTTGGAGGATTTTGGTCTGTTTGTCTTCCTTTTTCATGTATCTTACTGGTAATGCCTTGTGTTGCTGTTTTCAGCTAAGTCTTTCATAATCTACATCAAAATGTTGTTCTGCACCATTTTCTTCGGAAAACTCCTATACCAAGTCAAAAATATTACAGTTTTTTTTTTCATTCGTTTCGTTGGTTGATATAGTCTAACGTTTGATTTAATCAGGTTCTTCCCCCTCCCTCTTTTTTAATTTACCTTGGAGTTCGGTATTTTTGCTTATACTGTTTGACTTGCAGTGGCAATCAAAAACGCAGATTCTGATTTTTAAAAATAAACCTGGTACTCGGTATTTGCTAGTGTAAATAAAATAAGATAAAAGCAGGTGGTTTTTGTTTACAGTTGTGGTCTTTGTATGTGGTCATTGAAGCACTCAAGGGATGTAGCTTTGGAGGCTCATAGGAGGTAGGCTGATCCAGTCGATGATAGTGAATGGTATATAGCAATATTTGTAGACATCTATGGAGGTACTGGTCTTGGTCTATGGATTGCAGTGTCTTGATCAGGCTGGTGATATAATCAGTAATCCTATATGATGATATGTTTAATGCTTCACCCTTCAGTGCTTTGTAGAACATGGTTAGTCTTCTAGTTTTCCGCCTTGATTCTAGAGTTTGCTAGGTTCTACAATGTTCTTTACTGTCCCTGTTTCTCCGTTGTATTCTGAGGGTGCAAATCTGACAACTAGTATTTGGACCATTTCGAGGGATTCAATGTGTTGTTTTAGGTATGGATCCCATCCTCAGTTGGATTTTGGGGTGACTTTTTTATGTGTGGTTCGGCTGTTGTCTGCTCTATGGTCGGGTTGTTGTCTCTTTGACACAGTCCCCACTTCCATTCTCAATTTTATTCCCATCCAGATCTTCTGATAACTTGATTCAACTCCAAGATAGGGGTACTGGTGAACCGTAGTTAGTTTAATTCTGTCCCATCATTTCATATGTCTTTGTTGTTGAGTTTTTCTTCCTTGTGACTCTCAGCATGTAGTATTTGGCTTGGTGGAATGTCATTTGACCATTTCTCTGCCAATTTAGTCAACTCCGCCAGGCTAAGTTGTATGCTACCTTCACTATTCTTGGAGGATCTGTGTAGTAGTGATTCATCAGCAAATAACAGTAGAGTTGACGTTGATGATATTGTCTTTTCCATATTATTAATGCATATTAGGAAACACATTAGTCCTTATACGGTGCCTTGTGGAACTCCTGACGATATTAAATTGTTTTACTGGCTTCTACATCTACACAAACTCTATGACGTCGCTGTAAGCCGTTCTGAACATTGAAGAGTGTTATATCATTGAAGTAAAATGATACAATATCATATAATCAAGTCTAAATTGAAAACAACGTTCATACCTATGATTGCGTTGGATAAAAACCGCAATTTTTATACGTGTGCATGCAAAACAAATTTATTGGTAGAGGGTCTAAATACAGCACAAAGAACATTTTCCAAAAGACCTAAAAAGTGAAAAAGTATATTTTAACAAAACGCATTTGACTAGCAGGTCGAACAACGGATGTTCTTAAACCCTGCTGACTGTCATTGGCGATTGCCAAATAAACGGATCACCAGATGTAACAAAATGGATCTTAACTATTAATTTAATACCAAACAGAAAACAATAAACTTGCAGAAAAGATGGTATACCGCAAACAAAAGGTGCAAAAATTAGTACACCATATCCGGATTTCTCAATGATGTTAAGACTTCAAAGCATAGATATAGTGGAGAAGGATGCTGTTTCTTCCGTGGCTTATGAGATCACCTCCAGTTTTTGGTGGGTTTCGTATTTCTCAGTCTTACAATTTTTATGTAGTGTGGAGTTGCTTTTCTTTTCAGCATCTTTTGTTTTTTTGCCATGGCGTTGTCAGTTTATCATGGCTTCGTCTTATAAGGTTTGAATGTCGTAACGGTATTTCCGCCTCTTTTTTTAAAGTTATATATGATTTTTTCCCTAAATTTAATTTATTAAAATAGACAAAAAGAGACGGCGTATTTAAATTGGTTCAGTGGACATTAATGACATAGTTAACAAAATAACAGTTTGTAAATGAATAAAAGTGTAAATCATTAAGTCATATATTTTTTCGCGTAGTCGAGTGCTTCTGAATTCTTTCAAAGGCGTAGGATTAGACTGAAAAATATTTGTGTATGTGGGGGGACAAACTTCTGAAAGTAAAAAGCAAAAATAAAACCCTTTTCTATAGTCAAATAGTCTTGAAGTTAGTCAGTTGTGCCGCTACTCCTACGCCTTGGAATTTTAGCAGGCGCTTTATTCTAATTTCTGAATTCAAGCAAACCAAACTATGCTTCCGCTAGATTTTGAATTTTCAATACCGCAAAAAGTCAATAGATGTCTATGCATGTTGATCTTTTGTGTTAGGTTGCTGAACCCCTGACTTTTACTGATGATCTCTTTATTCATATCTTACTTGAAGAATTAGAATGATATAAGGGTTATTTCCTTCCTCCTCCCCTCATTAACATGTAACCACTCCCACTTTTTTAATGTTCCTTGTTCTACTACTGATTAAGCTAAGCGGACAAAAATAGACTTCTGTAATTTACCTCTTCTGTTTGAACTATTCATCAAGACAAATAAAACAATTGCTATTATAAAAAGTGTATAAAATACATAATTTAATATGTTATGCATTGGGTGTGGTCATGGCATGATTAAGAAAATAGATGAGTTCTTGCTTCTAAAATTATAACTATTTATAACTTATCAGAGAACAAAGTAGACAATATTGAAAATGAGAAAGCTCTACGCTTTGAAGTTTCAAGGAAAAGAGACAAATAACGCATTATGTTTTCACAAGCAAGGGTAATTATGAGTATAGAATTATAATCACTTAAACTTCTCCAAATTCGTATTGGGGAAGGGTGTTTGATTTATACACAGTCAGGTCTGATCGAAATGCGAACATTCATTGAATACATAATTCAGACAGTGCAAAACACATTTAACTATTTACAGTTGTCTCTTTCGACTCTCTTTACCCACAGAACCTAGCCAATTGATTATTAAATGTTAATTACTAGTATGTTATCGTCTTAAATGTGTCTGAATTGTTTGACACTCGACTTGAGAAAGCAACTGCAAGTTTCTTATAGTAGTCTACAAGAAGATGTATATCTGTATGATTTATTCGCTAGTCATCAGATCTTGTGTTCATCTGTGTCGACAGTACGTCAGTGCTTTGATTTATCAAATTCAAATGGCAATCCATGAGCACAGCAGTGCGTCTCAAATTATCCATTTAAATGTAATTTTTACGGCGGTAATGCTATAAAGAATTATGTTAGTAACAATTGTAAATCCTTTTACCTAACATTATTGGTACCGGATTTTGTATATCTTTTCATCTTTTCATCTTATCCAAAACAATATTTGTTTACAGTATTTATAATGTTTCTATTTATTTTGAATACAACATATTTGCAGAAAATCTATTGCGAAAGGAACAAGATTTTTATTTTTTCAAATAAATATTTTAAACTCTCCGTGCCATAGCAGGTCCACACTCAGGTTTTTGGTATAACCTTCAAGGGGAACGTACTCTGTAAATGTAATAAATGTCAACCGTAACATGTGCACATGTTTGTTCTTTTGAGGGCTGCGAAAAGACGTTTTCACGGAAAGATAGATTAATCATTCATTTGAGAACACATACAGGAGAGGTATATTTCATATAGTTTAAAATAAAATTCCCGCATTTTTGTATTGTTTACAGAAAATATAATTAAATTAATTTTGTTAGACTCCCAAATAATTTTATAGGGTTATTTTATTTCAATACAGAATATTTAAAACAGGTAAGGGTAATTGTAAATATTGATAATTGTTGAAATTACTCATTACATTGACACATGTCAGGAATAACCATTCGTGTTTTTATACCTCAGTTGATGTACATATATAATCCAATGTTCTACCGTTTGATATATACGCAGACAGACCAGCTGAATTATATTGTTTTCCTCACAAACTCCCTCTCTCTCTTGTATGATATAATTTTTGTGAAGCTTCCTTGGAGTATTAGGAAGGGTCTATCATTATGATATTTCCTCAATATTTCTGATGTCTTTGGTCAAACATTTCCATATACCAATGCTATGATACACAACTTTCTTAAATAGCCAAACTGGCTAATATGACCTGGAAATCAGTGGTTGTCATTTGTTGCTGTATATCATAATTGTTTTTTTTTCCTTTATTGTTTTGTAAATAAATCAGGCCATTAGTTTTCTCATTTGAATTGGTTTATATTTGTCATTTTTTTAGGGCCTTTTATAGCTTACAATGCAGAGCTCCAGATAAGCTGCGTATTTGCGTGATCACGCAATAAAAATAATTAAAAACCCAATGCAATTGCCCATTGCAGGGTTCAATAACCCAATTATATGCCAAAAACATGGGTTCTTAACGCTTTTATTCGCTATCGTTTGCGTTATTTACCCTTACTTGATTACAGTCGTCGCGTAAATCTATTTTTATAATATTTATAATTGGAAATGACCTTTCGTTCTAAAAATAGAACCCTGAATCAAGTAGCTGTAATGGGTCCCTGTTGGAATTTTCCGTTGCTCAAAAGGTACATGTGTTTATGAAAACATTTCGATCTTCTCGGCGTTTATTCAATTAGCGTGTTACATGCTGTCATATTTTTTCGAATTGCTCGGGATTTATCATAACATACAATGAATTAAAACGAAAGTAAATGTCCGGTAAAAATATTGAATAGAAGCATGTTTTCGGCTTCTTTTTGATAGCTGAGGGAAAGTTATGATGATAACAAGACTCAGCTAGTGATTTTAGGAAGCGGCCATTGAACGCACGGGCGTGTTTGCGTACCATAACGAGAACATTGCTAGAGCGATAAACACGGGTTTCCGTCAAAAACGAAATCAGTTGGAAAAAGTGAAAGGCCAAATCAATTATGACATGATGTGTAGTTTGAAAGCATCGGAAACCAAAAGTTCTGATAAGGGACAATTTAACCCAGATTTATGTAAATTGAATTAAACGAAAACAGTTTATATATTATTTTTTTCATTTTAGTTGATGAGTGAATACAAATATCCGTTTTTTACGTCAATGCAGCTTGACACTTTCTTTGTTTTGGTCTAATTGTTCTAGATGCTTAAGATAGTTGTCTTATTTGCAAGTGCAGTATAACATTGTCATTTATTTACTTGATGTTGCAGAATTATTTGTAAATTTAAGTTGAATGTGGTCTCCGTCATTATAAACCACCCTATAAACCTCAAGGTTTTGGGGTATATCTTAAATCTGGAAACTACTTTTTATTTTTATTAAAAAGTCAGATCTGGCAAATAGGTGAAAGGACTGGCAAAACTTTCTTACAGCACCTAAATTTCACATATATTACAAAAAAATCTTAACACTTAGCCACACCTACCCCAACTATAATTAAACTGTAGGGTGATCATATGGGATCTAGAAAGGCAATTAGTTCCTGTCCAACTAGTGACACCAGCTGCAGTTTACATAAGTTTTGAGAAAATACAAAACTGACAGAACGTTTAAAACGGGACACAAATTAAATGTACAATTGCTCGTCAGTGGATAAATCAAATAAAACAGCTAGCACATATTCTACAAAGAAAGAAACACATTTAAGATGGAAACACATCTGGGGTTGATATAATGTGATTATAACATGCCTAAATATTCAATATTGTGTTGATGAAAAAACCCAATACATTAAGGAGCTTGGTGGTGAAAAACCCAATTTGATATTTGCTTGAGGGGTGAATTGGAATTGATAATGCAATTAAAAAACTTTATCACCCAATTACATAAAAAAATGGTGGGTAAAAACCCCAATTTGTGAATTCTTATCTGGAGCTCTGTTACAATGTGATATGGATTTTGCTCATTGTTGAACAGTTGAAGGCCTCATTGTGATCGAATCCGTATCCGTTTGCCCTGATTCTTGTTCGCACTGAGTCTGTTCGCCCTGATTTCTATTTTTTAAAGTTTGTTGAAAATTCCGCCGAAATATTTGGTCAGATCATACGTTTTCGTACATCATATGAATTCGTACTATTCATGCTTTTTTAATGGAAATTGTGACGTCACAATGCATTCTTAATAGCAGGAAAACCCATGAGACGAGAATTTATGTTGTATTGATGCTACCAGATAATGATTTTTCTTTTGATTTGCATTGAATATTCTTGCAAGAATATTCATCATGTTGAATGTGGACAGTATTTTGAAGAAGAAGAAGTGTCCAGGAACTGGAGACCAAAAAGTTATCTGTGTGAATTTATCTTTTTTGAAACCTTGTAACAATTTCAAAACAATCCAAACAGGTATAACAAGATCCAACTCACTCAACACCTTGAGATCAAAGAAGCCAATTAAGCGACGAAAATAATTTCCCTTTAATGTCTTACAATTCTTACATCATTGTTTTAACTCATTCCAAGCTGACTTGTTTATTTAAAAAAAAACAATTTCATTATTAATCCACCAATAATAATAACTACAACAATCAGTGAGACCAAAGACATCGTAATCATATCTAATCAGCATTCTCAATTACAAAACTTTGAATTTTCGGAATACTAAGGCTTTTCCATCTCAGAAATATATTACCTTAGCTGTATTTGGCAAAACTTTTAGGAATTTTGGGTCCTCAATGCTCTTCAACTTCGTACTTTATTTGTCCTTATTAACTTTTTTGATTCGAGCGTCACTGATGAGTCTTTTGTAGACGAAACGTGTGTCTGGCGTACAAAGTTTCAATCTTGGTATCTATGATGAGTTTATTTACAATCAACAGTCATTAAAAGTAATTCTGAATAAAAACAAATGTAACAATGAAGCTAATTAGCCTGATTAATGCTCCAAAACAAAAACCTTTTTTTTTTAATTTCAATGTTTATTCATGAATTTGGAGATATATTTTTTAATATTTACCATTTAAATATCTGAATAAGATTACAAAACTTTAAATTAAACCATTAATATTATTTTTTTTTATAAAAATTAGGGCGAACGGACTCAGGCAGACGGACCCAGGGCGAACGGACCCGATACCATTGTGACCTATAGTTGTTAACTTCTTCATCATTTGGTCTCTGGTGGAGAGTTGTCTCATTGGCAATCATACCACATCTTCTTATTTTTATATCATCAGGAAATGAGACAGCTTAGATTCAGTACTTGTGTTAGAAAGCTCACTGACCATCCTTAAATATAGTTACATACATGTACCATTGTTAATAATTGTTGACATTACTCTATTATTTTCAGAGACCTTACCTTTGTGAATGTGGTAAAAGTTATGCCAGATCAACTCACTTGACCAGACACAAGGAAACTGTCCATGGTTCTACAGTAGCTCTATCTTTGTTGTTAGTATTGATATCAATATTTTTGTAGGTTCAGAATTGGACAAAATGTCTGTACCAATAAAGTCTTTTATCGGTCGTCCCACTGTCTGTATCACTCTGCTCAGCTCTTAATAAAATTGCATATTACGGCTTTGTGACGTCAAATATGTTGACCCGGACATATCAGCGACGCCATAATGTATGAACAGACGTTGATAAGTTTGACCTGAACTTATCAAGTCTTCTTCCGGTTTGCTGGTGAAACAAAGAAAACTCTTGTTTCTATTATGCAAAATACGTAGATACAACCCGATTAAATCGATTATCTTATTGTCAGCATATTTATATTGTAAAATATCAATATGCAGACAACCTGATAATCGGGGACGTACATCTTAACTGATCACCAAATTGGAGCTCAGAATGGTAAACTGTTCATGTGTGCTTATGTTAATCAGAAATGAACAGTGGTTGGAAAAGCATGTCACTTAATTATATACTTTACATGTGTATTCAGAACGTTTTGCGATCTTTTTTATTGCGAAAACAGTGACGGAATAGGCATTGCAAAAATATAAATTTGCATTTTAAATTTTCATAACATTAATATTTATATGTATGCAGTATTTACTGAAATTCAGAAATTTAATCCCATATTTTCACAATTCTTAATAATAAGTGTATGCAAAAAAAATATTGAAGTTAAAGTACTATTTGTACAAGTTTATTAATTTTAGAGTATTTTAAACAGGGGTCAGGTAGGGCATGTAGGGTAGGTGAAATGGGGCTTGCCCTTCAAGGTAGGCAATATAGCGGTAGGTTTTATGTAGTATCTACAACAGATATTTAAAACAGCAACATCAACACTTACAGATAAATATATGATTAACTATTATCAGGGATTTAGTTAAAACCTGTACATGTGTTTTGGACGCATGATTATCTGTCTGAACCCACCATATTATCATTTACCTATATCAGCGGGTTGTGTCCTGGTTGTGCTAACGAAATCCTATTTTTATTCTTAAGCTATTAAAAAGTATCTGAAAAGGTTCTTCTTGTCAATAATTTTACCGGAAAATTGACTTTCATTTTTGTCGAGCCTTCCACTTTTGTCGAAAAAGCGAGACATAGCCATCCTACATTCCGTCTGTGTCGTCGGCGGCGGCGTCCACAAATATTCACTCTGTGGTTAAAGTTTTTGAAATTTTAATAACTTTCTTAAACTATCCTGGATTTCTACCAAACTTGGACAGAAGCTTGTTTATGATCATAAGATAGTATCCAGAAGTAAATTTTGTAAAAAAAAAATTCCATTTTTTCCGTATTTTACTTATAAGTGGACTTAGTTTTTCTGCCAGGAAACATTACATTCACTCTGTGGTTAAAGTTTTTAAAATTTTAATAACTTTCTCAAACTATCCTGGATTTCTACCAAACTTGGACAGAAGCTTGTTTATGATCATAAGATAGTATCCAGAAGTAAATTTTGTAAAAAAAAAATTCCAATATTTCCGTATTTTACTTATAAATGGACTTAGTTTTTCTGCCAGGAAACATTACATTCACTCTGTGGTTAAAGTTTTTAAAATTTTAATAACTTTCTCAAACTATCCTGGATTTCTACCAAACTTGGACAGAAGTTTGTTTATGATCAAAAGCTAGTATCTAGAAGGAAAATTTTGTACTTGTTTATCCATATTTTACTTATAAATGGACTTAGTTTTTCTTCCAGTTAACATTACATACAGTCTGCAGTTAAATTTTTTAAAACATTTATTAGATTCATAAACTATCCTGGATTTTTACCAAACTGACAGAAGCTTCTTACAATAAAAAATTGTATCGAGAGGAATATTTTTATTAAATTTTTTCCTCATCTCATTTTTGTTGAGCCTGCGATTAACAGCAAAAGTAGGCGAGACACTGGGTTCCGCGGAACCCTTACAAATTTTTATGCATTACTTACTACAACGATTTAAGCAGAGAGACACTAAAAAAAATGATGCAATTGACTACGATTGGTTTACGCTTATTTGATTAATTCTGAGAATGTTTTTTACTTTTAAGCACATGTTTACCGGGGATAAAGTTGGCATTTAAGAGGCAATTTATTACCAATCAATGTATTTAAATCGATAATTGTGTTATGTAACACACTGATAATAGTGTAAACAGTTGAAGGTTGAAAAGGGGAATATTTCTACCTTCATGCATTTGGAAGGAAGAGAAAATGTTGGAATCAAAGAAGTTAAAAACAAATTAGAGTCAATTTTATGAAACAAGAAGAGGACACTGTTCTAACATGAAACCCATTACTCAAGTATTGTCTTGGTATTCGAGTACTTGTTACCATCCCTAATTTTTATACGACCGCAAAAAATTTGCGTTCGTATAATGCTATCACGTCGTCGTCGTCCAAAGACATTTGGTTTCCAGACAATAACTTAAATTTATGTGTATGGATCTGTATGAAATTTAACAAAATGTTCAATACCACAAAAGGAAGGTTGGGATTGTTTTTGGGTGTGATGGTCCCAACCGTTTAGGAATTAGGGGCCAAAAAGGGGCCCAAAACAAGCATTTTTCTAGTTTCAGGACAATAACTTGTGTATAAGTATTTTTATTGCTCTGAAATTGTACCACAATGTTCAATACCATAAGTAGAAGGTTGGGATTCATTTTGGGGGTAATTGCCCAAACCGTTCAGGAATTAGGGGTCAAAAAGGGGCCAAAACAAGCAATTTTCTAGTTTTCAGACAATAACTTGTGTTTTAGTGTATGGATGTCTCTTAAATTGTACCACATTTTACAAACAGAAAATTTCTTCAAATTTGATTTATTTGGGAGGGGGGAGTAAACAAAAAAAAAATTTTTTTTTGGGGGGGGGGAGTCAATTTTTTACCTCAAGATTTAAGAAATTATCAATTTTCCAGAAAAAAAATTGGGGGTCACAATTTATTTTGCTAATTCTTTGTATATAGTGACTATAGTCTGAAAACAGATTTACAAAGTATTGGGCAACAGCACAGTGTATTGCACAACAGCAAGAAATCTTCAATTGAATATAAATTTAAATCATATAACCAATTTCAAGTTCTTTGACTACACACTGTGTCAGAAACCTAAAATGTGTCAAATATTTAATTACAATCCAAATTCAGACCTACATGTATATCAAGCTTGAATATTGTGTCCATTTTTGCCCCAATTATTCAGGGTTGGACCTCTGCGGTCGTATCCAGCTGCGCTCGGCGAAGCAGTTTATTTTAAAGATATTTTAAAAGTTGTGTATTGTTTATAGATGTGAGGAAGAAGGCTGTAACCAGACATTTTCATCAAAACAGGCTCTGAATAAACATATAAAAAGGAGGCATGAAAAGAAACTGTATGAGGTAATATAAACCTATTAATAAAGTTGTATTAGAAGAATGTAAGGCAAAGCAACCTAAGACAAATAAGGGTTTCAGGCATCAGACAAATCAATGTCAGAATTGATTTTATATTTTTTCCAAGTGTGTTTTATATTTTTTCTGTATTATTGTTTCTCCTGCTAAAACACAAGCAAGAGAGAAAGATCAATATAGGGCAAAATTGGCCCTTAATCAAAAGCAGTACAACATTTCTCAGATTTGTTTTCTGAGCTTTATTAAGCATAAATTTGAACTTTGATTTAAGATTTCCATCCTTGTTATTGTTAAACCCCCTGCTATCTGAAGTGGGCAGTTATATGATGATGGGGGTCATCAGTCCATCTGCTGTCTGAAGTTGGCATATCTTTATCCAGCTTTGTGAGCTTTCATTGTAGTACCTCTTGTTTAAAGCAAGATAAAAAAATCTAAAAAAAAGGTAGTGGAGATCTATGGCATCAATATTGATTGATTGATTGTTGGTTGCTTAACATCTAGTGGCAAATATTTCATGCATGTTCAGAACGATTGGAATCAAAATAAAACTAGGTATGACATCATAGTAAAACAACTTCAAATTAAGTTCTACACTTTTGGTTTTCTTTTGATTGTTTCTTTTTGATTCCAGTGTACATTTAAAGGCTGTAACAGATATTTCCACAAGCATCAACAGCTGACTATACATGAATATGAACATACAGATGTCAAACCATTCAAGTAAGTTTATCACATGAAAATTAAGATACAAGTTAGACCAGACTGAAGACTTTGGATATTTTTCAAAGTATAAGAATACAAAATGATATTTTTTTAAATTCAGTAAGGCCAGGATTTGTCATTTGTTGGTTAATGGATTTGCAATCTGATTTGGGTCTGAAAAGTAAAAAAAATATCAACTTATAAACAAATGTGTTTTAGTTTACTGAGCATTTGAACTTACCGGTAATTAGATACACCCAATGATTTTACTATACCAACATCATAGAAAAACAACCAAAAATGACTCAATATGGTTTATTGTCATTTGTAAAAACAGCTTAATGTGTGGTGTAAGTAAGTACCTAAACCTTACCTAGTCGTTGGTATGATAATTTCATGTGTGGTATTACTAATGAATACATAGTTTAAATACCCTTCCTCCCTCTCCACTTTTGTAGTGGTCATTATCCGAGAACCAGAAAATTAATTTTTAAATGGCTTTTCAATATGATAAAAAATTGCATTTATTCCATTTCTTTCCACAAGGAAGTTACTACTCTTTAAATTTATGGAATAATAGGTTCAGCACTTTTGGAGAACAAAGGAGTATGGACATAACAGCTTTTGTTTGGCCAATGAATGAAATATGATAATGTCATATGAATTTATATCTAAATGCTTGAAAGATATATGACATAAATTGAGGTTGAAGTATTTTCCTTGGCAGCCATTTTGGAGGTGTAAATGTTTGATTTTCTTAGTTGACTAACCAAATTGAAGCATGTGGTTAGTCTGATATGAGATCCTGACTAGATGTTATTGATAATTTGAGCAAGAATGTAGAAATTAAAATTGTTCAGAAAATAACTTTTCCTAAAATCTAGCAGTCAGCATAACAAGTTGAATTTGTCTGTTTTTATGAATGAATTATTGCACATAGACCTCCAACATCGTGACAAAAGGGAAATAAATGTTGCTCAAATTACTTCAATTGAAAATTATCTATTTATTGAATGATCACCTACATTTTAATGCTAAAATAAGGTACACATTTAATTTTTCTCATAATTAAATATCAAAAATTAAAATAGAGAAACTTTTGTTAAGACTGACATTCTGCATAAGAACATTTGAAATTTTTTTTTACTTAAAAATAATTTACATACTTTCCACAGGTGTATTTTTAAAGATTGTGAGAAAAGATTTTTGTTACCAAGTAAGCTAAAACAACACATGAAGGTTCATTCAGGTATGTACACATGTATTCTTCCACCAACAATTTTCTCACATGGGATTTACTGTCCCTGTCTTTTAAAGCAGGTATCAAAAATGTTAAGCTTCATGTTCCATTTTCGTGTTAGGCACAAAAGGAATTGATTGGAAATTTGTTTAACAAGAAATGCAATTTAGTTTTGCTGGACATTTCACAAATAACTACAACAAACATGTTTGAGTTGCGCTTATATCTATGCAAAGTTGTCTCTTGTGGAAAAAGTTGTAAATAAATCTACAATTGAGGTTGGTTTGTAAAGTATTTTGCAAAGTATAACACTAACAACTTCTCTGTTAATGTTTGCAAACTAAAAAACATGTATGATATAGACTAAAGAAATATACAATGTATCCAAAATGAGGTCTGTAAATTTCTGTTTTAATGCAGTCTTTTAACTATAATTTATGTATGAAGAGTTATTGGCTTATTTTAAGGATATCAATGTAACCATGATGGATGTGAAGAAGTATTTGACACCTGGACCCAACTTAGACAGCATAGATATCTACAGCATCCCACATGTATGTACAAATAAGTTCATAAAAATTACTCATGAGCCAGTCCTGAACCTGGCTCAGACAACAGATATCTAAAGCATCCTACATGCATGTACAAATAAGTTCATAAAATTAACTCCTGGACCCCTCCTAAACCTGACTCAGACAGCAGATATCTACAGCATCCTACATGCATGTACAAATAAGTTCATAAAATTGACTCCTTAGCTACTTAACCTGGGTTAGACAACATAGATATCTTCAGCATCCTACCAGTATGTAAAAATAAGTTCTTGAAATTGGACTTCTTAGCTACTCATAAAACTGGGTTAGACAACATAGATATCTACAGCATCCTACATGTATGTACAAATAAGTTCATAAAATTTACTCCTTAGCTTCTCCTAAACCTGGGTTAGACAACATCGATATCTACAGCATCCTATATGTATGTAAACATAAATTAATTTAGAAATGACTCCTGAGCCAGTCCTGAACCTCAGACAACAGATATCTACAGCATCCTAGATGTATGTAGAATTAAGTTCATAAGAATTGACTCCTGAACCAGTCCTGAATCTGGCTGAGAAAACAGATATCTACAGCATCCTACACAAAGTAAAAAAAAATAGTAATAAAAATTGACTCTTTAGCCACTCATGAACTTGGCTTAGACAATAGATATCTACAGGATCCTACACATATGTAAAAATAATTTAGAACAAAATTGACACCTGAGCCACTCCTGAACCTGGTGCATCTAAAGACTTGAAATTTATTACTGACTCTTGGCACTTTTATTTTTAGTGCACATATGTACAGAATGTGACAAGACATTCACACAGAAGAATGCTTTACACCAACACCTGAAAAGTCACTGCGAAGAGAGAGAAGTGTATACTTGTCCTAGACCTAACTGTGGTAGAACTTACTTGGAACAGAGAAATTTGACGGCTCACATCAAATCTTACCATGAAGGACACAGATTCTGTTGTGAATATGAAGGCTGTGATAGAAACTTCTCAACTAAAGTAAGCACTGATTTTAGTCCAATCTTAGTCCTAACCTGTAGGATGTCCATTAGTTTGAAATTTATTGGTATAGGCACATTACAATTTTTCTGTGTTCAACAATTTGATAAAATGAAGAATTCCTAAAATATGATGTATCAAGAAGTACAAAAATATTGTAGCAAGGAAATAACATAAATCCAGTTTTCCCAAATCGTTTTTAACTAATTAAATGCAACTTTACATTTAATTTCTGAAATATCCTCTGTTATACATAAAAGATATTTCATAGACAATTCTTAGAAAATTACTGAGTTTATAATATGTGTTTGGGTGTATTTGAATTTTTTGTTGTCACTCTACAAATGAATTCAATGGAAAGTAATAAATATAAAATTGTTAATGTTTTAATTTAAACTTTTCATTAAAAAAAAGTGTTATGCTGTCAGCGTTGATAGAGGAAGCTAAAAGATGGAGAAAAAAAAACTCATTGCACTTGTCAAATTGTGAAAAATTCTAACAAATAGATGATTTCTTAAACACACCAGAATGAGATATCTATATCCTTTTTATTCAGACTGTTTTGACAAATGATTTTATTTTATATTTCAGCAAAAATGTCAGAAACATATCCTCCTACATCAAATGAAAGGCACACTTCCTAAGGTCAGTATAGAGTTGTTTGATTGGTGGTTTGAAAATAAGAAAAAGTAGGTTCTGATTTTATTTTACCTGTTAAACATATTTAATATACAAGAAATACTTCACCTGCATTGTCCATGGTTGACCTTCAGAATTTGACAACTAAACTTGCTTACAGTAAATAGAAAATGGGGTCAGGGTCAAACATTAACAGTAGTCTTTAAAGTTTACCGAACTTTTTTGTGTTTGTCATTCTGTCATATTTTGCGGTTGTGACCCAGGGAATTTAACAGCTCATGTGAGATTTGTTGATAACCTGTCCTGGTCATCGAATAAGCAAGGAGTTCATTATTTGAACGGTCATAAGACTTTTGAGGTCCAAATAGCAAAATTTCTCTCTGAAATACATTAAAACTTGAATTCAATTTGAACTTTATCTAATGTCCCGAGATTGTTCAAATTTATTAAATCAATAGTTTGTCACTACTTTGATGTGTAGGTCACTTATCTGCTAATTATCTCTTTAGCACGTAAAGTTGTCAAACTTCTAAGGAAATAATCAGGAGTCATAAAAATCACTGTAGGCAAAAAATGAATAATCAAAGACAAGTGCATCAGTAAATATGTTTCTAAACAATATTAATATCAAAATCCTTGAACGATCGTCATTGAAAGTCCTTTTATTGCATATTTTGTTGACAAAGATAATAAAAAAATTATTCTTTTTCAGAAAAAAAGTAGAAAAGGTGTAAAAAAGAAAACCTGTGCTGCAACAGTAACTGGAATTGATCCTAAATTAACTAAATGTGAATCAACTGAAGATCATATTTGTTTATCAGAATCAGAGAGTGTTCATGAGGAAAAACAGAACCAGAAACAGGCTGATCATGTGACAGGAAGTGTGCAATATTTTACAGAATCTCATCTCTGTATTTCTGAGGCTGGTGTACATGAAAAACTTTTACCAGGTAGAAAGTCTGTGAATTTAAAAATCATTAAAAACAATGAAGGACTTCTACTCAATGAAAGAGGTTTCAATATGGATATTTTGAATAAACATAAGGAAGATGAACTAATTGATAAAGTTGTTGAAATTAACAATGAAAATAAAAACTGTACCAAACAGGTAGATGCAAATGCTGATAAAATTTATAATATTCCAGTAATAGCTAGTATTGATCATGCAGAATTGTTTGGAAATTCACAGATGAATTCTGGATTATGTATAGGGGACAATTGTTCCAATAACACAGATAATTCACATTATGATTTATATCACAGAAGTGTTTGTTTATGAATTATTCTTAATGAATAAAATTCAAGCTTATCTGTTTTACTGATATATTTAAAACAAACTTGCGATAAAATTCAGACCTAAATAAAAGCAAAGCACGACAATAATGCTTTAAACTAATCAATATCCCGTTGACCTAATAAGCAAACTTTGTAGTAATGTCTTTTTATGCTCCAATGACAATAGAAGAGGGGCATTATGTTTTCTGGTCTGTGGGTGCATTATTCCAGTATAAGGTTAAGTTTTGGTTAAAAAGTTGTTTGTGGTCACATCAACATGTAACTTAGTAGATATGTAGGACTCACAGGTGCCATTGTCTTTAATGAAGTGTGATGATCCTTTTGTTGATGTGCGATGGTCTATATGACACTGGAATATTAGTTTAAAATCTACAAATGTGCGATTATTATGAGAAGTAGATTTTTTCATTAGTTAGTATATAAATTTGCATTCATCATTGTCTATAAAACATACTGCAGATATCTACTGATCTATTGATCTTGATGTTTCGCAAAGAGAGACTTGTGACATGAATGTAGTGTTTGAGATGGTGATCTGTGTTGGGACTATAATATCTAGCAGTTATAAATGGATCTGTTTCATAACTCTACCAAATAATATTTTCTCCATTAGCAGTAAAAATCATCTACGAGTAATTATTTTATTTCTTGTTCTCATTCAAAGCAATCGAATAGATTTGTTGTTTATTTTGTTTCATTCTGACTTATCAAGTAGTAATTCAGTGGTTCCCAAGGTTTTCTGATATTTACTGGAGATTTGGTTCAGTAATGATTAAGGTATTACTGGACCTGCTCATATATTACTGGACCAAAAAAAAATAAAAAAATAAAACAACTTTGGCTTATAATTTTATTCCCGGCTAAATTCAAAAATCATGCTTTTGTTTTTTTTGTTTTTTCCTCTTCAGTATCTGGTATTCTTTTTAGACTTTTTCCGGGTATAGGCCCCGCGACAAATTTTAAACCTAACATTGTATACAATATTGTTAACAAAATATTGTAATCTATGACTCATCATTTTGTTTTCATCGATTAATGTTAAATCGGCGCTTGTTTAATTTATAAAGTAAAATAAAGCGTCACGAAGATCCTGATGATAATCCGGGTTATTACCAATAACAAGCAGTGACAAAGGAGATTGCAAGCACAATTTCGCTAGGAATTTTTATTTTTTTACTGTGAGGTCTAAAAGATTGGAAAGCGGCTGCTGACAGATGTAGTTTTAAAATTATTTTATTCATTGAATTTATATCGGACACATGGTCCGAGATGAAACAGAAAATTACTGGACCAGACTCAAAATTACCGGACATTTGCCAATGTCAGACGGACCTTCGGAATCACTGCTTATTAAGTATTTGCATTTCAAACAACTATCACAATTTTCAGTTATTATAATTAGTACTGGTTTTAAAGGATAATATACTATGTAGAGTTTAAAGTGGTTAATTTCTAAACGATTGTATGACTGTTTGCTTATTTTTGTCTAAGCCTATTACCATGTAAACTACAGTGTTACAGGCAATGACTGTTTCAAAGTAAACGAGTTATACTTTCACTGATTTACTAAAAATATTAAAGCTAATTCTGACAAACAAATTGACCTATAAATCCACATCTGAACACAGAAACATTGAAAATATAGGTTATGTAATCCATAGCACTTCAGCGTGCCAATCGGAGAACCATTCAGTTCAGAGGCATTGAATTATTTAATATATTTGCAAAACTAGGGTTTTGACCCAGATTTTGCAGTACACTGAACATGGAAATGTGATCGTGGGAGTTGTAAATGGTGTTCTATGGACACCTATTCTTGTTTCAGGATATTACCATTTACAAGGCAATATAATAAGAGTTTTTTAACACAATTAAACTTTTTTTCATACTTTCACTAAAGAAGAAGTGGACCAATCTGAATAAATTTAACTTAAAAAAACTATGGGTTGGTGTTAATAAAAAAAATGTTTTATAAAATTGTGTTTCTTTTTCGTGTCAAATTGACCATGCTGTCAATTTTGTCAATTTGGGATTTTCTCTTTCTTTAAGAACAAAAAGCATATTATTTCAACTTCTTTGTTATAAATGATTGAAAAAATACATGTCTAAGAAATTTGAAAAGAAAAAATTGATATGGGATGTACTTATTTTTGATAAAATCATTTCTATGTACCCCTCACCCATTTTCTCAACATTTTGGCTGATGCCACTGACCAGATTAGTTATAAAATTGGAAAATTTTACTCAAAAACTACTAGCTGTAAGTACTCATTTGTTTCACAGAGTTTAGTTTGATTTTGATATTTTTTATATTCATTAATATTTTCCACTTGAATCACATGTTTTGGAAATAATTCCTAGACGAGATTTCAACATCAGAAGAATACATCCTTAAATCTGCAAATTTTGAGACAGATTGGCAATTAATGTGTACGAATGTTTATTTGAATAAAGAAAAATAAGTGATTTATTGAATAACTAGACTGTTTTAAACAAATACAAAATATTTATTTTCGTTTGTTCAATTTTTCAACCTTAATCATTTTAAGGGGAGATAACTTAAATAGTAAAATTTGTATAAAGGAATGTTAAAGAGATTTTCATTTTTTACATGTAGCCATATTTTCTTGTTAGTTTCATAAAGCATATTATAAAACCTATCTTCTCATATTTTATTTCAAAATTCTATTTCATAGATTTCTTTTTATTCACAAAAAGTGTTTTTGTAGCTTAAAAAAAGCACGGTGACCCATACTTTTTATCATATTTTTTTTGAAAGTCAATTAGCAGCTTTCAACATTGATTTTCAAGATTTAAAATGAATCCACTAACAAAATCATTGTTCAGTGCTTTTTATACAAAAGCCATTAATCTTTATAAGGGACTTCATCTATAATGTACGCAGCTCTTGATAGTTCGCATGCAGCAAACACTCCGATAGACCAGGACTTGCATCAAACAACATTAACAGTACACATTTTGTGCATTCCTACAACTAATGTCCCTTCAGTGATGCTTGATGCTAAGATATTTGAAAGTCTGAAACCTAATACAAATGTTGAAGCGCCAATAAAACCAAAAAGAACCAAAAGAAAAGCCAAACCACAACAAGGAATCTGAGCTCTGCAATAGGGAGATACATAAATTAACTTAAATTATTTCGAAATTTAATATCAGCAAATTTAATTCAAACAATATTTTTATGCCAATACCAAACACTCCAATAGACCAGGACATTGTTTTTGTGTTAAACTACTATATCTTTTTTTTATTCAGAGTTCAAAAATTAAAAAGAATTAAAATTTAATTAATCATAAGCAGTCAAAAACGCCCAAGAGGTAAAACTTCTGTCTATCCCTCTGCAGCTGCTTATTTGAAATGTGGATTTGTTTTTGTAACGATACATTTAATATTCAAGGTTAGCCAATAAATCTAAACACTCAGTCTCTAAGATATAGTTCTCAATACTTAATATACCAAGTTAGCCAATAAATCTAAACACTCAGTCCAGTGCATTCATTAATACCCGGTACCCGGTACTTTTACCCGCCTACGGAAGCGTCTGGTACCGGCAGAAAAAATAAAAATACAAAAAAAAAATGTGTAAAATTCTTTTGAAGATCGTTCAAATCTAATTTCTTTCATTCCTTGACAATCTCCGTTCTACGCCGTTCATGTGTATGTTTATAGGTGTCTTCGTCGAGGTCCGCGTTAAAGTATAGATCTATCTTCTGCCAATTTAGGCACACCTCCAAAGTAGGAGAAGTGATAATTACAAACCATGTGTCTGTATCTGTATCGTAAGAGCGCTTTAAAATGCGACGATTTAGCAGTATATTTTCAAGCGGCAAATTGTTGATGAATTTAAACAACAACAGCAATATTATGTCTAATAAAAGGAAAGCAGCTTGTATCACAGATTATTTTATGAATAAAAGGTTTAATAAAGGTGAACATTCTATGAAATTCAGAAAAATCGTTAATCGTATCAAATCAGTTCGTTTCCCGTTGGACGTTGTCACTGATCTCCGTTTTCACGATATGTGTTCTATGTTGTGATTGAATTTTTTAGTGTAAGACATCGTGAAACATTTTACAATCTGAACTAACATAACTGTTACGTTTACAAAATATAACATCTGACGAGATTTAAGACTTCTAAAATTAAAAAAAAAGACAGCTAAGAAGAAGTGATTTTTTTTTTTTTTACTTACTATAGTCAAGAATCCTATGATTAATTTGCCCCCCCCCACACCCCCCATTTCACAATCACCCCTTTTTATGAATATTAAAGTTAAGTGAAAGTTGAATACATGTTGTTTTTTTCGGACAAGAACAACCATCACAACACTTTGTTTGTTGTTTTGCATGAGAGCATGTTTATTGTTTATTTTGTTTAATTGTTTGCATGACACTGTTAAATTACTTACACAAACAATTGACACAGTTATGATTATAACAAAGCAATAAAAAAAAGTTACAAGTTTTATTATCAATTTTTTTTAATAATATACTATGTAACTTATGAAATTTCATTCACAAAATTGAACAAATGCAAAACATTTAATAAAAGTATAAAAACAAACAAAACATTTAAACAACATTTCACATGAAACCCCTGCGTTATAGGTCATACCATGGAAGTATTATATTGACAATATAATACTTCCATGGTCATACATATTTTATAACTGATTACAAAATAATTATAAGCAACGTATTTTCAGATGATTACTCTAGCATGTCTAGAAAAAAAACAATTCAATGTTAACTTACCCAAAATTGAAGCAAATATTACAGACTTTACCCTATTTTTTTAAGTAAAAAATTAAGGCTGAAATCCCTAAAATCCATGAGCTTCCGGGGGGCTTTGCCTCCCTGGTCCCCCTACCAGGGCTAGCCCTGGACCCACTGGGGGCCTTAAGCGGCCCCCAGACCCCTTGCCGTTTAAGTTTGGTTCCCCCTATAATCTCAAAGGTACCTCCAGTCTAAAAAAATAATGAAACCCCTGTCAGTCTCAAAGATATAGTTCTCATTACTTAATATTCCAGGTTCGCCAATAAATCTAAACACTCAGTCTCAAAGATATAGTTCTCATTACTTAATATTCCAGGTTAGCCAATAAATCTAAACACTCAGTCTCAAAGATATAGTTCTCATTACTTAATATTCCAGGTTCGCCAATAAATATAAACACTCAGTCTCAAAGATATAGTTCTCATTAATAAATCTAAACACTCAGTCTCAAAGATATAGTTCTCATTACTTAATATTCCAGGTTAGCCAATAAATCTAAACACTCAGTCTCAAAGATATAGTTCTCATTACTTAATATTCCAGGTTAGCCAATAAATATAAACACTCAGTCTCAAAGATATAGTTCTCATTAATAAATCTAAACTCTCAGTCTCAAAGATATAGTTCTCATTACTTAATATTCCAAGCTAAGGTAGCCAATAAATCTAAACACTCAGTTTCAAAGATATAGTTCTCAATACTTAATATTCCAAGTTAGCCAATAAATATAAACACTCAGTCTCAAAGTTATAGTACTCAATACTTCTCGTGTCTATGTAAATAAAATGGGCACAAATGAACTAAAACATTGGGTTATATTTAAAGCAGTTTTAATTGACAAGTATGAATGTCATAAGTTTTGTGAATTTGTCTGCTAGTTCATGAGTTCGGTCTTTTTATTTAGTAAGAGTATAAAAACAACATTAAATTGCAATTTAAAAAAAAATGTTATACGAATTTAATGACGATCTGACGTTGACACGCATTTTAAGCATGAAGTATCTACTGAAAAAAATGCTTATTACTCTCAAGAATTGCCGAAATGCAACTATATGCAATTGTGCTATTTCAAGGTTATTTTGGCCATCCGTGACATGAAAACTGAAAAGATTGACATTATGCACACAATTCTTCCAATTTTTGTCGCCAGTGATTTCAACCACTTCAATATATGTGTCAAACTCACAAGTTCACCACATACACATCTTGATACAAATGTTCTTACATTCTTAAGTATTTCAAAGATAATTTGTCAAAAATTTATAAAAAATCTGAATTTGAATATTATTACGAAGTTTAAACTATTTTTAAAAACATATCTGTGCAATAAACGTGCTATTTAGGGAAAATTGTTATAGTTAAAGGCAATTTTGAATGAATATTGCAAATGTTATATGCTGTTATAACTTGCACTTCGGACCTCCGATGTATGTCCAATGTACGATTTTTTTAACGATATTGTTAACATTGTAATGTCGACTATGTCATATTAAAACATATAGAAATTCACCAGAGCAATTATCCTTGATACTTACCCATACCTACATCGTAATCCATCAAATCACCAATTTCAAATCCATATAGAATTTTCTTAAAAATTTATATGATGCTGATACATGTACATAAATTTCTGTTTGAATAATGTTAAATAGAAATAGGGTCACCGACTACGTTTTTATGGTACAAATGTTGACCTATTTTGGAAGAATTCATCTAGTAATATTTCAGAAAATAAAACTGAGAGATAGCCTAAATGCATTATTTCTTCGATTTTCAGTTATAATTCAACGAGACAAAATTGTATGAAAAATTTTACCAACATATGTGACATAGCCTATTTACTATAACTTGACCTGAATCCATAACAATTGTAACAATACCTTGTCAACATCGTGTTTATATTGTATACAGAGTATACAACCTTGTGTTTTCATCGTTCACATCGTCAACATCGTGTTTATATTGTAAACAGAGTATGCACCCTTGTGTTTACATCGTTCACATCGTCAACAATAGCGTGTCAACATCGTGTTTATATTGTTTACAGCGTATACACCTTTGTGTTTACATCGTTCACATCGTCAACATCGTGTTTATATTGTAAACAGAGTATGCACCCTTGTGTTTAGATCGTTCACATTGTCAACAATATCGTGTCAACATCGTGTTTATATTGTATACAGAGTCTACACTCTTGAAACACGAGATATACATATACATTGTAGACATCTCGATGTCGACGATGCAAATAATTATACATGACAGTTTATATACAATGTTAATGATATAAACACGATATCATGAGTATAATGTTGACATCGATTAATTTATTCTGTATATATTTACAAATTGGGAACAACTTATCAATTTGTGAGTTACTGTACTGCTACTGACAGTTTTGTTGTTCTCGAAGACTTAGACGTGTAGTTTCCGCCATCACCAATTGTAAAGTTTTTCGATTCGGCCATCAAGGCGAGACATACTTCTGTTTTAACAGTTTTTTGTAATCACGTGTAGTTTAACGTCATCTACAAACTAATCTTGATTACCTTCCTATTTCTGTTGCCACGATTTGAACTTGCACTAGTCCGGTAAATGTCTTGCTTCTGTTTCGCTCGACACGTCAAAGTTATACATGGGCAATCTTGTCAAAACTCAATGTAATTATTGGGCAATCGGTTTATCTAAACTAAGAAAATGGCAGCTAGTTTACTCAAACTCCTTTTTGTATCTTGATTTATTCCGATTTTCTTATCAGGAGTAGTGCATATATGCATAAAGAAAATGTTGGACAAACGTCTATAGGCAATAACCATCCGACAAAAATAACCAAAGGACATCTAGAGGTCAACATACAGTCTTTAACAATAGACAGTTGTCTGTACAATTATGACAGCTCTAAATCGTCCAGATTCTAAAAATGTGTCACTAAATTTAAGAGAAGCAATTATAGATCTGCCATTAATCTAATTCTCCAAATAGCGAAAAACAGTAAGATATGACATACGACAACTTCTTACGATGTTCCTGACTGGTAAAGACATATACAAACGCGGCGGTGTTAAACTTGTATAAAGGGCTCAAGCCTCCCTTTTTATACGCCCGTCAAATTTTTGACGAGACGTATTATAGTATACAAATGTCCGGCGTCCGTCTGTCTGTCTGTCCGTCCGTCTGTCTGTCCGTCTGTCTGTCTGTCCGGCGTAAACATGTCGCACCGTAACTTGAGAATGACTTATCCAAATTTCATGAAACTTAACATAGTTGTTTCTTATGATGGTCAAACGATCTGTATACTTTTTGGTGATAATAAGATTAAAAATTTTGAGTTACGGGACTTAGTAACTAAAACAGGTGTGTGTTTTTTTTTCACATGTCGCGCCGTATCTCAAAAACAATTTATGATTATTGCTTAAAACTTTACACACTTCTTAGTTATATTAATCTTAAGATCTGTATACTTTTTGGTGATGATTCAAAATTTTGTTTTAGAGATATTGAGTATTTTGTTAAAAAAGGGGGAGGGGTTTTTCACATGTCGCGCCGTATCTCAAAGACAGTTTATGACTATTGCTTAAAACTTTACACACTTCTTAGTTATATTAATCTTAAGATCTGTATACTTTTTGGTTTTGATTCAAAATTTTATTTTAGAGATATTGAGTTTTTTGTAAAAAGAAAGGGGGGTTTTCGCATGTCACGCCGTATGTCAGAAACTATTTATGCTTATTGCATAAAAATTCACACACAAGACGACGGGCGTATCATGCGCTCATGGCGCAGCTGTTTATTTTATCCTCGATCAGTAGCTAACAAAATGAAAAAATTAAAACCAAAGCAGTAAAGGCACTTGGTATGATCGGTAAATAAGCAAATACAAAATACAGTTATTTTAATCTTTTAAATTAATTCTGAAAGGCGGAAACGTTCATTAAGAAATGCATGTGCTGCCCTGTTGACAACCGAAAAAAAAACCCATCTTGCTCAAGACAGACTGACAATTAATAATCTGTCCCACTAAATGCAGGAAATAGTGTACAAAAGTGAAAATATAGACGGTCAATTGACCAAAGAGATTTCTTTGCAATTAAGCTATTATGACGCCACAGACGTTAAATCTCGCGTAGCAACGAAAAAGACTCACAACGTTATAAATAACGTTGTTTCTGTTAGGTAGATTTTGGGGCAATCGGTTTATCTAAATTCAACAACATGGCGAATACTAGCAGTGATGAGGCAAATCAAATGATGCCAATTTTGGAAGAGGAAAGTGTAACAGATGTGCAACATGATGTAGAAGAAGAGAAAATCAACACAAATCAAGAAAATGAAGGGCATAAGGATGAACAAGATACCGTAGATGAAAACAAGCCTAACGGTACCGTAGATGAAGAGGCTACAATAGAAGAAAGGGAAGTTGAGGAAAAAGAAGACCAGGATCCAGATACGGACTTAGAAATTGAAGAAGAAAAGAAAAAAGAAGACCAGGATCCAGATACGGACCTAGAAATTGAAGAAGAAAAGTCAGAGTTTGATTCCAATATGCGAGGAGTTTATTTGTGTGCATGCAAACATCTGGGTGTTGTACCGTGTTCTTTTTTCTTAAGGCATTTGAATGATAAAGAATTGAAATTGAGGCATCATGGTCTAGGTAAACTTGGTGCAAAAGCAATAGCCTTGCCTATGCAGAGCAATACATCAACCCTCATCCTAGATCTTCATGATAATTGGTTGGAGGCTGAAGGTGGTGTAGCAATTGCTTCGATGTTATTGGAGAATTGTTACATTTCCGATGTTGACTTGTCCGATAATCGTCTGGGAAGCAGAGGTATAGGATCTGTCTGCAACATGCTAATGCAAAACACTGTTATTCAAAATATAAACTTGTCCGGAAATGACATTTCAGATCATGATGCTAAAAGTATGGCGGACGCTATAAACGAAAATAACCGTATCAGACATTTAAACCTGAGTCACAACGAATTTTCTGAAAAAGCCGGAAGTATCATCGGACCAGCCGTTTCCGAAAACGAGACAATTGACAATTTGAATTTAAGTTGGAATCATTTTAGACGCACCAGTGCAGTAAAGCTATGTGAGGGAATTTCGGAAAACATGGGCCTTCGGAAAGTTAATTTATCAATGAATGGCTTTGATGATGATGTTGCGTTTGCTATTGCTGACATTATTAAGAAGCACCATGCTCTTTTAATTTTGGACGTTAGTTATAACAGAATAGCAAATGCTGGGGCAATGGTGATCGGAAAGGCTTTAGAGGTTAATGATGTGTTACAAACATTTAAAATAGGTCATAACAAATTTGGTGTTGAGGGAGCAAAGGCTATATTACAAGGAATTAGCTCTGCTAATTCGATCGTTGGAGAACTTGACATAAGTGGTGTTGAAGTTGACAAAGAATTCTTGATAATGATGAAAGAACTGGATAAAATACGACCCGTCAAAGTTATACATGGGCCAATTTTGTCAAAGTTTATTATAAAAAAGAGGATGAGATCAGAGGACGACGCTCTGTATTTTGATGTTCCGAAGGAAACTGTCAACCCTTCAAACATTTTAGATCTGGTATGTAATTACTGTATGAAAAATACAATAGATGTTCACGAGTTCCTAGAAGGAAAGTGTGACGAGAAAAAGAAAGTAGAAATTCCTGTGTTTTTATCCTGCTTGAAATCAGCTGGACTTTTACTAACCGAAGATCAGAATAAACTTCTCAATATATTGCTTGAAGAATGTGTTGACGAAAACTTGATTGATGTGAGCATTTTCTTGGAGTAAGAATTAAATTCACGTATTGAAAATATGAGGACTTTGTTATTTTGTATACTCTACATTTTTTTGCATACTTACATCCCGCTTTAATCAACGGGAAACGATCTGAAACCCTTCCTTCCTTTCAAGCAAATTTTGTCAGAATACATTTAGGAGTTTTGTTAGTTCTTTGGAATTGTATTTAAAATGCAATGACATATTATATTTTAAAACTTGATTTATGTGTAGTTTACAGATTCTGTAGTTTGTGAGAAACGCAAAAACTGATATATAATTTTTGTATAACTTGTTTTGCTGATTAAATTTTCTATCTACTTCAGTTTCGGACTGAAATGTGTTATCATCGTCATTGAAGCGCAATAACTCCTATCTTAAGGAGTAGACTGGCGATTAACGGCATTTTATTTTTTGTATATATATATATATATACAAGTCTAAATTGAAAACAACGTTCAAACCTATGATTGCGTTGGATAAAAACCGCAATTTTTATACGTGTGCATGCAAAACAAATTTCTTGTTAGAGGGGTCTAAATACAGCACAAACAACATTTTCCAAAAGACCAAAAAAAGTGAAAAAGTATATTTTAACAAACCGCATTTGACTAACAGGTCGAACAACAAATGTTCTTAAACCCTGTTGACTGCCATTGGCGATTGCCAAATAAACGGATCACCGATGTAATAAATGGATCTTAATTATAAATTTAATACTAAACAGAAAACAATAAACTTGCGGAAAGGATGGTATACCGCAAACAAAAGATGCAAAGGTTTTTGTACACCATATCCGGATTTCGACAATTAATGTCTCTTCAGTGTCGTTAGGAATCGAAACGGTATTTGGAAAGCCATACAATTTACCTCAATTTAGGATAGACTCTTGAATTTTGAGGAGTCAAAATAGGATGAACGGATCATATAAACCCGAAGGCAAATATAATACAAGCCCAAACGAAAAAATATAAACAAGTCTAAATTGAAAACAACGTTCGAACCTATGATTGCGTTGGATAAAAACCGCAATTTTTATACGTGTGCATGCAAAACAAATTTCTTGTTAGATGGGTCTAAATACAGCACAAACAACATTTTCCAAAAGACCAAAAAGGTGAAAAAGTATATTTTAACAAACCGCATTTGACTAACAGGTCGAACAACAAATGTTCTTAAACCCTGTTGACTGCCATTGGCGATTGCCAAATAAACGGATCACCGATGTAATAAATGGATCTTAATTATAAATTTAATACTAAACAGAAAACAATAAACTTGCGGAAAGGATGGTATACCGCAAACAAAAGGTGCAAAGGTTTTTGTACACCATATCCAGATTTCGACAATTAATGTCTCTTCAGTGATGTTAGGGATCGAAACGGTATTTGGAAAGCCATACAATTTACCTCAATTTAGGATAGACTCTTGAATTTTGAGGAGTCAAAATAGGATGAACGGATCATATAAACCCGAAGGCAAATATAATACAAGCCCAAACGAAAAAATATAAACAAGTCTAAATTGAAAACAACGTTCAAACCTATGATTGCGTTGGATAAAAACCGCAATTTTTATACGTGTGCATGCAAAACAAATTTCTTGGTAGAGGGGTCTAAATACAGCACAAACAACATTTTCCAAATGACCAAAAAAGTGAAAAAGTATATTTTAACAAAACGCATTTGACTAGCAGGTCGAACAACTGATGTTCTTAAACCTTGCTGACTGCCATTGGCGATTGCCAAATAAACGGATCACCAGATGTAACAAAATGGATCTTATAATAATTTATTACCAAACAGAAAACAATAAACTTGCGGAAAAGATGGTATACCGCAAACATGAGGTGCAAAAATTTGTACATCATATCCGGATTTCGACAATTAATGTCTCTTAAGTGATATATATATTTATCATAATTTATATTTAGTACAAAATACAGCAATTTTGTATATCTAATAAAGGTTCTTTTTTCCCGTCTGTATCACCTACCCTGTATCGCATACCCCGTATCGCATAGCTAAACCCGTATCGCATACCCCGTACCGCATAGCTAAATCCGTATCGCATACCTGGCGTGACGTCATAAATCAAATGACGTCAACGTTTGACCTATGACGTCCAGTTGCTGTATTTCCTGGCATAGGAAAAAAGTGAGTTCCCACTCAAGAAATGTCATATCATTTCAACTAAAATCGATATTTTCCCAGTAACTTTATAAACGATTTTTATAAAATAGATACAATAAGTTTTTTAGTGGGAACTCACTTTTGTCCAATGACTGTGTATATAGGAATCCCCTGTTTGTCTGTTAATAATCTTTGAATAGATGATACTTGGTAACATTGTTGTCCATATTTATGTATACATGCAAATGAGTTCAGATTGTAGTATAATGATTAAACTTAACAACAAATATTGGGAAGGTGGGTTGTATTCTACAGGAGGGAACAGTTGACACTATTGTTAGTGAATGCTTTTAAATATATGGTCTTAAAGTATATTATTTGCCAGTTCATAGCTCTATATTGAGCATGTAATAAGGTTGTAGGGGACATTACGATGTGGATATTAAGCAAATAAGGAAGTCTATAAAAAAACTAAGTCAGCTGGAAAAATACAGGAAAATCCTTATGTTCTTTTGTTTGTTATATTTTCGGACGATTTAAAAAAACGTATATCACATTAATCTGATTCTATTTAAATATATGATAAACAGAATAATACATGACAAAATCCGTATCGCATGCTGTATCACCACGAGAAACCAATATCTGTCCCGAGGGCCGAAGGTCCCGAGGACTGATATTGGTTTCTCGTGGTGATACAGCATGCGATACGGATTTTGCCATGTATTATTCTATATATATATATCCTGTTTTGCTGCTTATACTTTTTATTTATTACAGGTTTCGCCGAAACGCTTTAAGCTGGGTGAATATCGTCAATTAAGGGCAATAACTCCTATAACTTTCCATGATAGCAGTAAAATAAGCAAAATATTCGTAAAATACGCAACATTTTAGAGTAGGAGCAAAGACCGGTCGGCTGGTAGTCAAAATAATATGTCCGGGTATGTTGACATGTCTTACAGGGGACTGTTACCTTTTGAACTAGCACGTTGAAAATCCGTCTCAGCGAGTCCGTCTAGTACAAACCAGGCTTCATATTCATATCCCATTGATATATTCTCGTCCTATTCATGTAATATTTTGCCACCGGTGTTAAATACCAATACCACGTACAATCATCATTTAACTTTTTTTTAAATACGTTTAGACGACCAATCGTTTTGTATGTATTTGATCGACTTTAAGCGCTTGCTACCGTTGGAATGATGGTGGCCAAGTTTGGTTCCAATTAGGCCAATAGTTTTAGAGGAAAAAATGTTTTATAAAAGTGAAAGGACGACAAAAGATGAATGCAAATTGATGGCAATAGCTCACTTTGGAACTAAAATGATTTTAAGACCAAGATTAACTTCTATTTGAAAAAATCTTCATTGGGGTATTTAGTTAAAAAATATGTCCCATGATCCCGCCGACAAGGCTAAAACTAGAAAATAGGGGTAAGATTAAAGTTTTTGTCTTGAAAACTGCTTTATATAGAGAAAATCTGACAGGGGCAGACATGTTTAGAATAATGAGATCTATCTACTGTTCATTCAAGTCAGAACTGTCAGACCACTTCTTATAGGAGTTGTTGCCCTAGAATGACGAATTTTACATTTTTTTTCTTCATTTTTTGCCTATTATCTTGAAAAGTATAATAGATAAATAGAAATATTAAAATGCAAAATGATCAGCCAAACAAGTTCTACAAATAAGAAATATGGCTAAAATCGTTAGTTGCCTCCTTATTGGAGTTATTGCCCTCAATCTAATTAAATATAGAACTCGGATTTCAGAAACAAGATCTACAAATTGGTCAACATGGCTGAAATTGTCTCTTTAGAGGAGTCATTGCCATTTGAAGACGATTTTTCTCCAATTTTTTGGTGTTACAACTTATTATTTAAAACTATAATATATAGAAAGAAACTTAAAAAAAAAACATCAGATAAGATCTGCAAACAAGTCAATATTGCCGAAATCGTTGGTTAACTTTTAATACAAGTTATTGCTCTTAAATGACGATTTTTTTACCAATTTTTTCCTATCATCTTGAAAACTATAATAGATTATATAAAAGTAAAACAGCAAATAATAATAGTAGGACAAGATATACAAATATGTCAGAATTGCCGAATATGTCAGTCGACTCACAGTGACTTCTTGCTTGAGTTAAATTGTTGCCATAGATGACGATTTTTGCCTCTTTTTTTCTTTTTTCTTTTTGGGCACACATTTTAGACAATAGAGAGAAACTTTAAACTGTAAAAATTATCAGCAAGCCACGATTAACAAAAAAAGAGATTTTAGTCATGAACTATATTATAGTCTACAATGTTGGAGAGAGTGGCCATATGGCTCTTTAGAACCTTTATGTATAGATCTAATCCCTGTCCCTTTTAACCTCAATCAGTAAATTACCAAACCTAACATGAAAGAACAAACAATAATATTGGCGCAATTGATACATCTCAAAAATAACAATTGGTGCAAAAGGACTGCTGCAATAAATCGGTACAGGGAAAGCACCTAATTCGTTAATAATTACATAAGGATAACGAAAACACGATTAAAAAAAAACTATCATGAACAATACCGTATCACTGAAGACGTATTGTTATTAGAAATAAGCTGAAAATTAATCTGCTGACATGGAATAATTATGTCCTACATCCTTATATCGGTATCTCGGTGTACTTCACAACTTAAATTTCATTCACCGACGTCGTAAGCGGTACTGGAAGACACGATTTAGTGCATAGCCCAGTACAAACTTGTTCAGAATTCCAAAGCAGAAAAACGAACGGAACATTGTATCTCGGATGGTTAATATAAAAAAGAAGATGTGGTATGATTGCCCATGAGACAACTCTCCACAAGAGACCAAATGACACAGAAATTAACAACTATAGGTCACCGTACGGCCTTCAACAATGAGCAAAGCCCATACCGCACAGTCAGCTATAAAAGGCCCCGAAATGACAATGAAGTTTGTCTCATTGGAAATCATACCACATCTTCCTATTTTATATTGTAATCTTACTTCCAACAAAAAAGTTTAATTAGTCGT